TATACACCACAATTTAAAAACATTTTTAACCGAATCTGCAATTAAATGGCCGCATTCAGTATCAAGGCCGGATTTTCGTGCCTTTCCTAGTTCATATCTTCCACAAACTCGGAATGTCTTCGAATAGCTAAGCCATAGTACCTTGTCACCTCATTATACTTTTTAAACCCACTGGTTTTAAAGCACGGTTGTGCAGAATGTAATTAAGTAGTTTCTACTTGAAATATGCTTCCAGTAAAAAATTGTTTCATCCGTACTCTTTATTCGATTTAAAGTGTAGATGACGTTGAACGTTTTTAATTAACTTTTAAACTTTGTTGTTGTATTTAACTCACTTTGAACTGATTTGAAACATTAAAACCAAACTAAAAACACGCGTTTATTTAACCGTAGCTGAGATGAGATAAAATTAAGGAAATCCTCTGTTGATCCATCTACAATCTGGGTGGTGATTCTTACACCAAGAATGTTATCACATAATTTAGTTTTTAATCCTAATAGTCGTTAAAACATTTACAATAATTTATAAATTCAAGTGGAGTAAAATTTCGATATAACGGACTAATACCGGGGAGGGGGTGTCCGTTATAGCCGAAGNCTGAAAATATTTTAGACGAAGAGAACGTAATTGATAATACTTAAGTTTGAATTCTCAATTTTTTATTTTGGCCAGAACCACAGAAACGTCTAATGACCGGTCTCGCTGAGACACCCTGTATGTATTATTATTATATTATATTATTAGTAATGTCTAACACAAATTCAGTTCATATACCCTTGTAAATACCTTTGTAGTAGTTCGAAAGTATTGTGAGGTTAATTAATTAATAAAAGGCAGCAAAGACCAAGTTCTCCTATACAGCAAAGTTAAAACGAGAGTTGTTATTAAATTAGTGGAAAAAAGAAGGAAATCTATAAGCTGATACCATTTTTGGCGTTGATGAGAGTATTGTTCATCTGGGACAGAAACACAAGATAGCTTTTGCAGACGTGCAGTATCGCGCAAACAATTTACCGGGTCAAAGAAGGGACGGTTTCTGATAAAATTGGTGAAGCAGTTTTCCGGGCCTGTGTGAAGTTAGCCCCCAATTAAATAGGATTTTACCTGTAGAGTATTTTGATAATAACAAGAGAACCTCTCAATTGATTTCGATGAACAACATCTTATTCGAATGCTTAATTCTTGGTCAATACAAAAGAGGAAATGCCCGATTCGAAAGAGATTTCGAATTCCCCTAACACGGCAAAATATTGCCAAAGTACACAAAACTGACCTTTTTAGGTGATCATAGCTCGTAAGCAATGTACAGGGTGGTTCAAATTCGATGTCGGAATAGGCTAACTCGGAAACTATAAGAGTTAGGAAAAAAGTAGCTTGCATGTCATGATCTCGTTTTTCGAGAAACTGCTAATGCCGAAAACCTCATAGCGCTATCGTCTTTTGTTTTTCCCCTAGAGGCCAAAATTGAAAATATCGTAAAACCAGCAAGTGCAATTATCTTCGTTATTATTATAGGTGGAGTATTATAACTAAGACATTATAGGGACACTTTTTCACAGAGAATTTGATGACGTAGTCAAAAAAAAAAATTTTCGGGTTTAGATTTTGAGATGACAATTTTCGTTTTTTTAAATGGAAACAACCACTGATTATTCGCTTATTAAATTCGTTATTTAATTTGTTTATTATTAATAGACATTTCATTCTTTGATTTGTTATATCACTTTCTTCCATTTTTCACCAACTTTACCTTTACAACCTTTACAACTTTCACACTTTTACAAATATGTTACAAATAGAGTCGATAAACAATCGAAAATAAATAGCAACAATTCAACACCCCCCAATGTTTTTTTAATTAATAGCAATGATTTTTGAGGTGACAGCCGCTGTCAGAGTGAAATGTCAAATAATTTTTTGATAACATCAGATGAAATTTTGGCGATTCTGATTCTAAATGAGTGTGATTGTAGATAAAACGTGTATTGCATGCGTGTTTTAGATGCATTTTATTCACTTAAGAAAATTAAACGCTCGAGCTTCGCTCTCGCGTTTAAACATTATTGCATGATTAAAATGCTGTCTAATACACTTATACATTAGAAGATTAACATCAGAAGTACAAAAAAGAAAAAGTTATTTATATTAACTAAAAAAAAAGTTTATTTTTAGCTTTATTCTAAAACAATAAGAAATTGACCTGTCGAACCCCATATTTTTGTAATCAGAAAAAATCAAAAAATCAGTGGTTGTTTCCATTAAAAAAAACGAAAATTGTCATAATACCTCAAAATCTAAACCATCAAAAAATTTTTTTGGCTACGTCATCAAATTCTCTGTAAAAGAGTGTCCAAATAATGTCTTTTATAATACTCCACCTATAATAATAACCAAGATAATTGCACTTGCTGGTTTTACGATATTTTCAATTTTGGCCTCTAGGGGAAAAACAAGAGACGATAGCGTTTTGAGGTTTTCGACATTGGAATTTATTTAAAAAAAGATCGAGACATGTAAGCTACTTTTTTTACAGTCTGTACTCGATTATCTATACGTCATTCGATTCGCCATAGTTTATTCTTTCACCGTAATGACATGCACGATCTCAATTAGTTCTAAGAAACAGTAAATTTTAATTCCACCGGTCCACCGGAAGTGGACCACAACTTCGTTATTTTAAATGGAATGCTATAATTGTTATTGCACCTTTTAATTTTCGTTTACGAGTTATTTTGATTTAAAATTTTTTTTTCATGTTTCACCATGCTATTTAAAACCCCATATCTCAGCCAATATTCATTCAAGAAAGCTCTAACTTGGCACAATTATTCTTCAGATGATATCAAATAAATTGTCGTTTGTTGTATCAGCGTATCTTATACAGGATGGTCAAGATTTCAATTACCGTTTTTCAGCATTCAAGTCCAAAATTTTAAATGAAACGACCAATATTTTATTAGGTTACCAGAAAAGGAATTTAATTCTCTACAAACAATCTATAAACAACTCTATACCTATTTGTTGTAGTTTTTCTCATAGTGGGAAATTTATCAAAACATGCAGGAAATGCCGGAAACGGGTTATATTTTTATTAGAAGGCCATGATATTTTGACAGTTTTTTGTTTAATTTATTTTTACAATAATTAATAATCTGTTAGATTACTATCTTTCATTCACCAAAAATAATAAAGAGAAGAACAAATAAATGAAACAATGGAAACAAAAATTTGGTTTGGATGAAAAATATAAATTTAAAATAATTTTTTTATTAAATTTCATTTGCAAATGCCATAAAATACGGTAATAGTATATTAAAAAACTAGTTTCGTAAGACACGTTTGAAATGCAACGAATTCAAGTTTAAAAAGGAATGCTTTAAGTCTTATGAAACGTGTTTTTTATGCTATTTTTTTGTAATTCGCGTTTTATCATTTTTTTTAAACAAAAATAAAACAAATTTTGACAATGTGGGAAATAGGTATGTAGCAAATGGTAACACCGTGAAACTTGAACACCACTTGAGTAATATTGGAGTTCACGACGATTACACATATGTCAAAATTGACGTTGACATTCTTGATGACTTTGACCGGAAGTTGACCATAACTTCATTATTATTGAAGATAAATATGTCGTGTTTGTACTCATTTTAAAGAATTTTTAATGAAGATTACAAATATGTCAAAATTGAGGTTGACAGTTTAAACCTGAAGTTAGTTATCATATAATAGAAGTTTTATAACTGAAGTTAATCTACTATCTGTGCCAAAAGTCAAGGCCCCTCACTTTAAAGATCGATATCTTTGCAACCGCCCGATAAAAAAAATTGCGACAAAGTTTGTTATAATCACTGAACATTTCTACGTAACATATGTTAATTTAAAAATTTTCGGATCCACGGTTTTCTTTTTATCGTGAGTTAAATGAAAAAAGTACCCGTTTTTTACGGTACCGGCAACTTTGTCAACTTTGTGGTTGTTTTTCTCGAAAACTATCGTACGAAAAAATTTGAATTTTGAACAGGTGGTAGCCTGATGTGTTCTTAATGAGTAGCATATTTTATTTTTTCGATATTCCATACAATTTCGCGGAAAATCGCGGTTTAGTAAGACGCTGTTATGTCAAAACCGGCTGGGTGGNGCCTTCCCTAGTTCATATCTTCCACAAACTCGGAATGTTTTCGAATAGCTAAGCCATAGTACCTTGTCACCTCATTATACTTTTTAACCCCACTGGTTTTAAAGCACGGTTGTGCAGAATGTAATTAAGTAGTTCCTACTTGAAATATGCTTCCAGTAAAAAATTGTTTCATCCGTACTCTTTATTCGATTTAAAGTGTAGAGAACGTTGAACGTTTTTAATTATTTTAACAGAAAAAAAATTATAATTTGTTAAATTCGGGAAAATTTAAACCTGAATAAATTTTATTTAATTTTTAAACTTTGTTGTTGTATTTAACTCACTTTCAACTGATTTGAAACATTAAAACCAAACTAAAAACACGCGTTTATTTAACCGTAGCTGAGATGAGATAAAATTAAGGAAATCCTCTGTTGATCCATCTACAATCTGGGTGGTGATTCTTACACCAAGAATGTTATCACATAATTTAGTTTTTAATCCTAATAGTCGTTAAAACATTTACAATAATTTATAAATTCAAGTAGAGTAAAATTTCGATATAACGGACTAATACCGAGGAGGGGGTGTCCGTTATAGCCGAAGGTCGTTTATATAAAAATATATTCCTGAATTCAGTTTTTAGGCTGGTATGAAAACTTTAATACTCAATAACGTTATATTTTATCAGCACAAAATAAAAAACAAAAAAATATATCGAGTACTGCATATCTGGGAATACCCCGTGTTTTACCTAATGTATTGATATAATTATAAAATAAATAATATAAAATTTGTCCGTTGTATCCGTAAATTTAAATTTTTTTATACGAATAAAGAATAGTTTCTATTTTTAATGTGTATTTATTTATTTTTCAGAGGAATCTCACCGAATATTACAACGCTGTAGATACGACAAATATGATGATAATTTTTGCTTCCATGTTATACGAAAGAAGAATTATATTTACATCAAAAAAGTTAACAAGACTTAGTGCGTGCGTGCAGTCTGCCAATGATCTTCTCTACCCAATGATATGGCAACATATATTTATTCCTGTTCTTCCTATGGCCTTTAGGGATTATTTATTAGCACCAATGCCTTTTTTAATAGGAGTACCAGAAGAAGTTATGAAGGTAAAGAAAAATCATTTAAATAAAAAACATTTAATTTAAAAAATATTTTATTTTTGTTAAATAGGATGTTTCTAGAAGTGATATAGGAGATGTAGTAATATTAGACGCGGACAATAACACAATTGAAACCCCTTTCGATGATTTACACAATTTACCAACGGAAGTTGTAAATTCACTTAAGAAACAATTAAAGAATAAAGCAGCTTTACTAGGTGATGGAGTGTCAAGAGCTTTTCTTAGAGCTTTAGTACAATTAATTGGAGGATATAGAGATGCCCTTTCATTTGGTGATAAAGCGACGTTTGATGAAAATAAATTTTTTGAAACGAGACCATCATCACTTCAACCTTTTTTAAAGGAAATGCTTCATTTACAAATATTTAGACAGGTAAATATTATTTTTAAAATCAAATAAATAAGTACCGTATTTTCTGGAATCTCATCCGCAATCGAATCTAATCGGCACCCTGATTTGAAAAATTCGTGGTGATAAGAAAGTTAGTCAGCGAAAGTAATCTGCATCTTTCTTTGTACAATACGAGGGCATTAAAACTACGCTATGTTCCTTGTGACCCACAAATATTTTTTTTTTCGACTGGTCCATGCAGGGTGTCCCAATTTCGATGTCCGCATAGNAGCACTGCTGCAAGCGCAAAATGAAGCCTATGAGGAAGAAGAAGGACTAATGTATGGTGCTGGAATCGCGGATTAATCGGTGACTACTTTATATTCTTGTTAACTTTTCTAAATTTCTAGTTTTCGAGATTTTTTTTTCAAACGCGTTTTTCTCAAAATGACTTTTTTCATATTTGCGGGAACTCTAACTCAAAAAATAATGAACCAATCATGAACCAATTATGAAAATTGATAGTATGATTCTTTATGAAATTACGAAATATATGAACCAACTTTTGAGATGATATCATGATTTTAAGAGAATTTTTTTTGCATAATTAGCAAAAAAAAAATTTGAAATTTTAAGTAAATTTTTCCAATACCTGCAAAATTTTTAATTTTCGTTACATTTACCTGCATTGAGGTTCATATTCTTAGAAAATAAGTTATTAACCTAAAATGAAAAGCTTTTCGATATCAGATGAAAATTGAAATGGCTACACGTCCCGCAANTATAATAGAAGTTTTATAACTGAAGTTAATCTACTATCTGTGCCAAAAGTCAAGGCCCCTCACTTTAAAGATCGATATCTTTGCAACCGCCCGATAAAAAAAATTGCGACAAAGTTTGTTATAATCACTGAACATTTCTACGTAACATATGTTAATTTAAAAATTTTCGGATCCACGGTTTTCTTTTTATCGTGAGTTAAATGAAAAAAGTACCCGTTTTTTACGGTACCGGCAACTTTGTCAACTTTGTGGTTGTTTTTCTCGAAAACTATCGTACGAAAAAATTTGAATTTTGAACAGGTGGTAGCCTGATGTGTTCTTAATGAGTAGCATATTTTATTTTTTCGATATTCCATACAATTTCGCGGAAAATCGCGGTTTAGTAAGACGCTGTTATGTCAAAACCGGCTGGGTGGATTTCCTCGCTGATTTGACCAAAATATGTCAAATAATGTCGGTTGTCGGATTCCGTTATCAGTTTTTCAAAATTGGAGCTCCCTAATTTTTTAAGAGCGATTTAATGGAATTACAAATTAACCCTTCGTCTGTAAATGGTTTTTTAGCACCATCCGTCTGTAAGGTGGGTCTTTCGGGTCCGGTCGTTTTTTTCATATTGTTAATGCACTCAAAAAATTTTATAAACAATTCATGATGATGCTCGAAACCTTCAACTTGATGAATCAATCATAAAATTATCGAAAAAATTATTTTTGCATACATATTTTTTTATATGAAATGAAGAAATTATTTTCCTAAACAGTTGTAGGTCGGACAGGAAATATCCAGGTTTACAGAGGAAGGGTTAAAGAGAAACAGAAATAAGCTCTATGGGGTGACGGGGGTTCCGTCCAATCGGAACAGATGGTGCTACCCAGACAGGACGTCGCGCCTTATTTCTTTATGTATGAAAGATAAAGGCGCGACGTACTGTCTGGGACGCACCATCTGTTCCGATTGGACGTAAGCCTCCTCTCCCCGCATAGCTTATTTTTGTTTCTCTTCAATTTGTAATTCCATTAAATCGCTCTTAAAAAATTAAAATATTAATTAATTTTGAAAAGCTGATAACGGAATCCGACAACCGACATTATTTGACATATTTTGGTAAAAACCGCGTTGAAAACCGCCAGGTCGTTTTCGAAATAACCGCATCCTACTAAACCGCGATTTTCCGCAAAACTATATGGAATATCGAAAAAATAAAATATGCCCCACATTAAGAACACATCGGTTTACCACGAGTTCAAATTTGAAATTGTTTCGTCAAATAGTTTTGGAGAAAAAAATCGCAAAGTAGATAAAATTGCTGGCACTCTCAAAAATCGGGAACTTTTTTCACTTAACTCGCGATAAAAGAAAAACCGCAGAACCGAAAATTTCCAAATTAACATATCATACGCAGAAATGTTCACTGATTATAATAAACTTTACCGCAATTTTTTTCATCGAGCGGTTACGAAGATATCGATCTCTAAAGTGAGGGGCCTTAACTTTTTGCACGGATATTATTATTATTATTGCTGCCGGGCTGAGGAGAGCGGCATCTCTCGTTACAGCGACCTATAAGATCTATTGTAACTTTAGCCCTCCAAAGGTTTAGGGCAAATGTAGGTCCTTAATGAACCGTAGTATTGTCCTGAGGTCTTGAACCTTTATGTTGGTAGGTAACAAGGGAGTTTTACCGAAGATGTTGTGTCTTAGACGGCCTCTGGCGACGCAATTGCACAGTATATGTTCAGCAGTTTCTGACTCGCCGTTGTATAGTCGACAAGTTTGATCCTAAGCTTGTCCAATGTGGAAGAGGTGGTATTTTAGGGGCGCATGGCCGGTCAGGTAGCCTGAGAGCGTTCTTAGATCCCCTTTGCTGAGGTATAAAACCTCTTTAGTTTTGTTTTGCGACGGAGTTATCATACTCTTCGCTTGTCTGTGACCTGGAAGTTCTTTCCAGCGTAAGGCTATCTTTGAAACCTCCCAGTTATTTGTTTTAGGTGGCTTTTTTGTAGTCAGCAACCAGGTTGGGGTCCAATGAACGGCGTGTTTGCTGCCTCTTTGGCCAGCTTATCGGCCTTCTCATTGTCCTCAATGTTGCTGTGACCTGGAACCCACCATAGGGTAACATCATTGCCCCTAGCGAGTTCTCTAATGTTGTTGGTACACTCTCTGATCAGTGCGGAGTCACACGTGTAGGCCTGAATTGCTTTTAAGGCGGCCCGACTGTCTGTGTAAATGTTTATGGATGTACCTTTTTGTCCCTTCTATAGGTTCAAAGCGGTGCAGAAGTTTATAGCAAGAACTTCTGCTTGGAAAATTGTTAAGTCCGAGCTGAGGGGCAATTTAATGTGGCTATTTGGTCCACTGATGCCCATGCCTACTCAAGATCTTACTGTCTTTGAAGCATCGGTGTACCAGGCTAGGGCTCCTCTTTTTAGTTGAGGCCCTCTCTTCGCCCAATCATCCCTGCTTCTAAATATGACCTTATACGGTTAATAAACTTGAGTGAAGAAACTGTTTTCAGTGATAGTAGGGCACTTAAGACTGCCTCCTTTTGTATATATAAATGGAGCGGTGTGAGACCGAGTAGGGCTTCCAAAGCAGCCGTCGGACAGGATCTCATTGCACCCGTTATGTTAAGATATGCTAACTGCTGGATTTGTGCCAGCTGTTGTTGTGCTGTCTTATGTTTTGTTTTTGGCCACCAAACCAATGAGGCGTAGGCGACCATAAGTCTGATTATTGCTACGTAGGCCCAATGAGCCATTCGTGGTTTGAGACCCCAGTTCCTTCCTAGGAGCCTGCGGCAGATCTGGTTTGCCATGATGGCCTTTTTCCTCACCTTATCTAAGTGTGAGTTCTAGTTTAGTTTACTGTCAAGTATTACCCCTAGGTATTTAGTTTCTGTTTTGAGGTTAATAGTTCTGCTTTCAATGGAGGGTGCTTTTATTTGTAGCTTCCTTCTCCGAGTGAAAGCGACTATTTCGATTTTATTGGGATTGATGCTGAGCCCATTGCTTCTACACCAAGTACTAGTGAGTAGTAGGCCTTTCTGCATTAGCTGAGTTATGATTGAATCATATTTACCTCGGATACACTTTTCAGCACTTTGTTTTTATTTTTAACGTGTTTTTTGGGTCATTTCACATTGATTAAAAAAAAATCGCCTATTTTTAAGCCACATGATGATTCTTGAACTTTTCCCAAGTTTCTTAATATTTCTTTTGTTAAAAAAGAGCGTTCTTAAATTTTAACCTGTAAACTTGTAACACATCGTCCTTAATTTCATTTTACAGCTTTTTAAACTTTAATTTTGTAAATTAGTAACTAATAATCTGATTTCGACTTTGACATGTGATCTTTTTTAACAAACGAAAAAGAAATATTAAGAAACTTGTTTGTAAAATGGATAGAGGGATGTTAATCTATTTGTAGAGTCTCTAAAGATGGCCAAGGACCGAAACTAGTTAGATTTAAATTCTATATAAAGTAGAAACCACTTGAACAGTACAAAATCAAACTCTAGATAATTTTCTTCAAATATTTTTACACGAAACATCATTTGACTCTAGTATTTGTGATTAAATTTATGCCAAGACTTACAGAAACACTCGGTATAATCGTAAAACGACTGACCAAGCGGATTCTGTGCTTGTGATGGCTGTCATCAGTGTTCTGTGATAAAAATAGATAGGCACCAAACAATTTTGAATAATTTGAATCTGTCCATTCTGAGAAGTCATATTTTTAGAGAGATGAAAACGAAAATCCCGTTTTTCTCAATATTGTTCATTTGTCACTTAGTCAAGTGATGCATAAACCGGTCCAATTGCAAAAATAAATTGTACAAAAAACTGTCAAAATGTCATGGCCTTCTAATAAAAACACAAAGCATTATTTTGTACATGTTTTCATAAATTTCCCAATATGAGGGAATCTACAACAAATAGAATCTCATCCGCATTGGTGGTGCGGATTGGAGTCGTGAAAATACGGTAGTAAGGATTATTTTGCTTGTGTTATAGTTTATAGAAGAAAGATTAGAAATATTAGGAGCTGGNGATGCCCATGCCTACTCCAGATCTTACTGTCTTTGAAGCATCGGTGTACCAGGCTAGGGCTCCTCTTTTTAGTTGAGGCCCTCCCTTCGCCCAATCATCCCTGCTTCTAAATATGACCTTAAATCGTTAATAACGATTTATTATAAAATGCAATGTATTTATGTATTTCTCAGTCGTGCCTGAAAAAGATTGTTAAATCGAAACATGTCGCACTGAAACAAATCTAAATAAAGAATTTTCATCGTTTCTATGAGATTTATTGAATTAATACTTACGATGAACACCGAATCCACTTTAACAAAGAATGACCTTATATGGTTAATAAACTTGAGTGAAGAAACTGTTTTCAGTGATAGGGCACTTAAGACTGCCTCCTTTTATATATATAAATGGAGCGGTGTGAGACCGAGTAGGGCTTCCAAAGCAGCCGTCGGACAGGATCTCATTGCACCCGTTATGTTAAGATATGCTAACCGCTGGATTTGTGCCAGCTGTTGTTGTGCTGTCTTATGTCTTGTTTTTGGCCACCAAACCAATGAGGCGTAGGCGACCATGGGTCTGATTATTGCTACGTAGGCCCAATGAGCCATTCGTGGTTTGAGACCTCAGTTCCTTCCTAGGAGCCTGCGGCAGATCTGGTTTGCCACGATGGCCTTTTTCCTCGCCTTATCTAAGTGTGAGTTCCACTACTGTCAAGTATTACCTCTAGGTATTTAGTTTCTGTTTTGAGGTTAATAGTTCTGTTTTCAATGGAGGGTGCTTTTATTTGTAGCTTCCTTCTCCGAGTGAAAGGGACTATTTCGATTTTAATGGGATTGATGCTGAGCCCATTGCTTCTACACCAAGTACTGATGAGTAGTAGGGCTTTCTGCATTAGCTGAGTTATGATTGAATCATATTTACCTCGGATTGTGATTACCAGGTCATTAGCATACCCGTGTATCTTAAATCCGTTTTTAGTTAGGGTGTTCATCAAGTCATCAACTACCAGGCACTATAATAGAAGTGAAGCACTCCCCCTTGGGGACATCCTCTTAGCGCCTTTATAGTCAGCGACTCGCCTCCCAGACTGGCTGTGATCTGCCGACTTTTCAACATGGCTATACACCACTTGATTGTCGACGGATGTATGTGTTTTACGTTTAGAGCCTTCTCTATGGATTCATATGAGGTGTTATCAAACACAAAACGGATAGTAGTGTTAGTCACTTTTCAGCACTTTCTTTTTATTTTTAACGTGTTTTTTGGGTCATTTCACATTGATTAAAAAAAATTGTCGATTTTTAAGCCACATGATGATTCTTGAATTTTTCCCAAGTTTCTTAATATTTCTTTTGTTAAAAAAGAGCGTTCTGAAATTTTAACCTGTAAACTTGTAACACTTCGTCCTAAATTTCATTTTACAGCTTTTTAAACTTTAATTTTGTAAATTAGTAACTAATAATCTGATGTCGACTTTGACATGTGATCTTTTTTAACAAACGAAAAAAAAAAAATTAAGAAATTTGTTTGTAAAATGGATAGAGGGATGTTAATCTATTTGTAGAGTCTCTGAAGATGGCCAAGGGCCGAAACTAGTTAAATTTAAATATTTTTACACGAAACATCATTTTGACTCTACTATTTGTGATTAAATTTATGCCACGACTTACAGAAACACTCTGTATAATCGTAAAACGACTGACCAAGCGGATTCTGTGCTTGTGATGGCTGTCATCAATGTTCTGTGATAAAAATAGATAGGCACCAAACAATTTTCAATAATTTGAATCTGTCTATTCTGAGAAGTCATATTTTTAGAGAGATGAAAATGAAAATCCCGTTTTTCTAAACATTGTTCATTTGTCGCTTAGTCAAGTGATGCATAAAGCGGTCCAATTGTAAAAATAAATTATACGAAAAACTGTCAAAATGTCATAAAAACACAAATCGGCATTTTGTGCATGTTTTCATAAATTTCCCAATATGAGGGAATCTATAACAAATAGAATCCATCCGCATTGGTTGTGCGGATTAGAGTCGTGAAAATACGGTAGTAAGGATTATTTTGCTTGTGTTATAGTTTATAGAAGAAAGATTAGAAATATTAGGAGCTGGATTAGGATTTACAGATCAATTTGAAACGGAAGTTTCAATTTATTCGGAAAAATCTAGCTCGAAATTAAAACAACAATACAAAGAATGGTCATCGACCATGAAAAAAGAAGGAACTGCATTTTTTAAAAACGTTAAAGACAAGGTAAGATTAATTTAACCTAATAAATCATCAATTTAAGTTATCTTTTCTTTTATAGGCTAACCCCGCTGTTAAATCAGCTGTTAAAACGGTAATTTTTATATATTTGTTTGGATACTTTTAATAATTCAAATAATTTCTTTTTAGGTTAAAGATAGTGGTAAAGGAATGAAAAGCGCTTATAAAGGATTAAGATCGAAATTAAAAGATAACCCAAGTAGGCAAATCGAAAACGGACTTGAAGCGACCAGCTTTGATAAACCTAGATCAGCACCAAATTCGCCAACGGGTAAAAGACGACAATTACCTTTTTCTGTTCCTGCTAACGCATATAGAAAAGACGCCTCATTATCATTAAAAGGTTCATTACATGAAAGGTGATTTCAATTATTCAAATTATTAATATAGTTAACTGAAAGATAAAAAACTTACAGATCTTATAGTCCTTTGAATCCCTTGTCTCAGCCTTTATCTCCAGACGTTCCGGATCATTTAAATAATACTGAATCCCCTAGTTTGGATATCCCACAAATGGATTTAATGACTGAAATGACGGATTTTTTTAAACTACATCTTGATACACCTCCAGTTGATAGATCTGTAAGTATCACGTACCCAAAGTTATTTAAATAAAACTTCTAGAAGATGATTGAATTCGTTTAAGATCTAAATGAAAAGTTATTAATCTAGAAGTTCTATTTTTTGTTAAAAAAAACTTTTTTTTTGTTAATTTCTTGTCAAAATTAATTAATTTGTGTGCTATGTTAAATGTAACTAACCTCGTCTTGTTAACCCTTGTTTATCCTTATTTTCTTCGTTGTTTTTTACAGTTAAAACCTGTACGAAGTTTAGAAAATTTCAAAACTCCCCAATTATCGTCACCCCCGTACAGTCCCTCGTCAAGATTGTTCCTGCCTGTTTTAAAATCCTCACAGGATACTCAAAATTTGCTTCTCCAGTCTCCGGATGATGTGTTTTCATCACCCCCAGTGCCACCAAGGCCCCATTTTAAACCGACAACGACACCGTTTGTTGTCGGTGGTGGTCGTGCTGAAAACGGCCGACCGGTTTTTTTGGTCGCTAATGAATATCGAGTGGATGTTGTTAGGTTATCTCCACCTGCAAATTCACCTCGGAAAAAGGTAACCAAAAAAATAAAGAAAAAAAATTGGCCGCTTTTTATGTTGCTTTTCATTTCTCTTTGTTTTGTGTAATTTAAACGAAGAATTTTGTAACATAAATCTTTTTTATTAGAAACAAGATGACACCGAAGATTTAATAAGATTAGATTCTTCCTCATCAGACATCGACGATTTTGATCCATTAAAATCATCACTTTCAACATCAATGCCTAATACAAGTAGTACATTTAACTTCCAATTTGATTTAAACGATAGAAATGCACACGATTACAATAATAGAGTACCTATAAGCGTTACAAATCCGTTGTATAATTACGAGAATCATCACGTTGCTCCTCCAACAAACGGATCGTCATCGTCAACTCCATTTTTAATGCGAACCTCCGATCGAGAAACCGTCGATTTATTACAAGAATATGGTTTGGATTTTTCGAAATTTTCCGGATCGAAATATGATGGCGTTGGTACGAATGGTGATGGTAGTGTATCAAAGGTGAATACAAAAAAAGAATGGACTAAATTTGAATAGAGCCACGAATATTATTAAAAAACTGTTTTAGTATGTATTTTTATACCCTTTTTATTTTAATATGTAATTTATTTATTGTGAGCTGGTATACATATCTTTAAATGAAAGAAACGAATGTTAAAAATGTAAGGTTAAAAGAAATTTCTAAACTATATAAGATCGAAAATGTTGATGAAATAAAAAAGAAAGAATATTTAATTAATTATTACTAAAGTATTATCATGTAAATATGATATAATACAGATATATAACATATTATTATTATATAGGTACAAACTTTATACATGCGCGTATTTAAAAAAAAAAAGTAAAAAAGAATGATTTATGTTATATAGAATTAGCTGTGATATCGAAAAGATTGAAGAGAAATTTAAATAACCGAATGAAAGATAAAAAAATAAGCGAGCGTCAATTTTTTAAATTTACTTTATTATTTTGTTATTTACGTATATATGTGCACAATTACCAATTAAATTATTATCAGTTTGAAAAATAAAAATGTTTTAATAAACTAAAACCATTTCTTATTTTCTATAACTTGAAAAATCAATTCTCCTTCCCGCCGTCAACCGTTTCCGCATGACTTATTTCTGTTCCTTTTTACTTTATAATTCCCGCAAATCGTCCCAGAAAAATTAAAGAAAAACATTACTTTGAAAAACTTTACCGCATTCGATATACGGTTTCAAACGCAGTTTTAACAAAAATGTGTCAAATAATTGCGTTTGTCAGATACTGTTATCAGTTTTGCAATGTTATGTCTCTCTAATTTTTTTAGAGCGATTTAAGCGAATTATAATTAAAAAGGAACATATACAGTGTCCCGAAACTCAACGTCAAGCGGGCACCGAGTGAGAGGCCAACCCATACCTGTTCTAGTAAAAATGAGAAAAAAATTCTTTCTCTTAGTTAAGTGGTAATAGACATATTTTTGAAAATGTTAAAAATCGTTCCCGTACATCATATCTTTAGGTACTACGGTCAGAAATGTTCGCAATAGGACCGTTAAGTATTTTTTTTTATTGGCTTATTCGAAAGTTTTTTAAAATTGATTGACCCCATATTTTTTAATTTTTGATTCTGAGGCTTAGTTTTTCCAAAAAAAAATAATAAAGTTACAAATTACAGGCCGCGAATTCAGTAGCGCGTCACTCAGATTTGAGCGTACGATTGGAGCGTATAAAAATCAATAAAATTCCTGGAGAGAAATCACGTCTGTGATTTCTTTCTTCTTACTTAAAACGTCACAATGAATCAGGGGTGGGGAATTTTAAAGTTTTACATTAATTATTGCAAAAATTAAACAATTTTCGAACGTGAAAACGTTACTAATCCGTCTAATTTAATTTACATTATCGATTTTTTGAAAGACGGTCTTTCTAATCGATTGACCTTAACGGCCCTATTTAATAGTTATTTTTTTAATAATGTATTCCCCATGAACCATGCTACTATAGCAGTCACAAATCGAACAACAAAAGTTGTTAGTTTTGCAAAAAAGAAGTATTAGTTTGATTGAGTTAAGGTTGAAAGAATTTATGTCTATTAAGTTTGACACATGATTTCTTAACAAAGGAGTAGTACAACACCCTTGGCAAGTTATTTTAAAAGATGGCCTGTTTAGTCAAGATTCCAAAATGGTGTAACACTTGACATAAATCTTTTCCTAACAAATATTATTGCCTGTAGTTCTGCGAAAAACGCGTTATTTAAAAAATTCATACTTTCGTATGTTATTTGTATTTCCTCAAAAATGATTTAACAACTTTGTTAGAAGATGTGCCACTCAATATCTACACAGAAATGTGGTTTCAACAAGATAGTTGCTCAGCTCATTATGCTTGTTCTGTACAGAATTGCATACAGAGAATAGCCAGAAAGATGGATTGGTCGTCGTGGTTCGATTACGTGGCCTCCTCATTCTCTGGGTCTAAATCCCCTTGATTTTCTTATTAGGATTAAAAGAAGCAGTGTATTAAAAACCGATTAAAAATCTTGCCGAACTGCGCCGCAATATTTATACAGCGGCAAAAGAAATAAATGCAAAGAGATTTGCGCAACTAGTAACATCGTCACAGAAAAGAACTTCTTTCTGTGACGATGCAGAGCTTGTATTAGTGCCGACGGCAAATAATTTGATCATTTGCCTTAGTTTTAAGAAAATAATGCTATAAAATTAATAATAAATTTGTTTATTTAATTTTGTCTTTAGGTTAACATTATTTGAAAGAGTCTTTTTGCAAGACATAAGGGCAACCATCTTGTTGAAACCACATTTTGTAGTTCGTAGATATTGACTGGCGCATCTTTTAACAAAGTTAAGAGAAAATAAAAAGTAAATACAGATAACATACAAAAGTATGAATTTTTTAAATAACGTGTTTTTTGCAGAAAAACGGGCAATAATATTTTTTATGACAACAAAAATGGCAAGTGTTGTACCATTTTGGAAACTTGACTAAATAGGCAATCTTTTAAAATTACTTTCCAAGGGTGTTGTACTACTCCTTTTTTTAGAAATCGTGTGTCAAACTTGATAGACATAAATTCTTTCAACCTGAACTCAATCAAATTAATATATTTTTTTGCAAAACTAACGACTTTTGTTGTTTGATTTGTGACTTCTACAGTAGCATGGTTCACAAGGAATACGTTATTAAAAAAATCACTATTAAATTGCGAACATTTCTGACCGTAGTACCTAAAGATATGATATACGGGACCGATTTTTAACATTTTCAACAGTATGTCTATTACCACTTAACTAAGAGAGTTGAGTTTCGGGACAGCTGTATAAAATAAGCCATACGGGGAGAGGAGGATTTCGTCTAATCAGAAAAGATGGTCCTGGTGTGTGTAAGAATTTTTTAACATTTGGTTGCAAAAAGATGAACGCCGAATAAGGAACAGAAGCGACACCCAGCGATCTATTTTTAATATAAATGTCCAAAGTATCACCAATAAGGTGGATGTCCTAAAGAGAATTTTGAAAGAAAATAACATTGATCACCAATAGATCACCAATGGGCAACTGCGACATTTTTCTCGATCAATTGAATACACTTTTAGAACACCTAAGTAAAGAACTCCAGACAAAAATTAATCGGTAGATCGCAAATCAGACTCAGGTAATCGGTGCCACCCTCGGCTGGTCCGCTACGCCGATGATAACTTGTTTCCCACGTGTACTCACCAATAGATTCGTCACGGGAAGAGAAATAAAGTTTTTCGGTGAATTAAAGTCGTCCGATATTGGTCGTCGTTAAACAGTTCCCGTGCGGTAATTATAATCATTTCGAAAAAAATTTATTAGACAGGTCGCTTCAGAATAATGTATCCTACAACCGTATAATGCTCTGATGCGGAAGATACCGGACACCTGTATATTATTGGAGACTTTAATATTGATCTCTTAAAGAGGAACAAATATGCTGAATTTATCATTGTTCTTCTCCGAACATTTAACATTGTGAATTTGTTCAATGAACCGTCTAAAGTTGGCACAACCTGCATGGACAATATTTTCACGAACGCTAATCATAGGAACTTTGAACCGAGAGTGATTAATTTTCATCTGTCGGACCATTATGGACAAATAGTCTCATATCAAGAGTTATCACGACAACAAACTGAAAAAACAATTGTTAAACAGCGCGTTAATGATGCAGCGCGTGATTCAACACAATCAGCACACGTTCAATATACTATCTTCCATGAAGCTTTCCAAATAACTTTTGACAAATGCTTCCTATAATAAAGAACACATACAGGAATATGAGTGAGAAAATAATACGTGACCCAAGTTTGGATAAAATGCAACAAACTCTAGACTTTTTATGGACTACAAGGCAAATAACAAAGACGGAAGATAGTTATAATTTATATAGAAAATACAAAAAAGAGTATCACGAAGCAGTTACAATGCATAAACGTACAAAAAAAATGAAGATTTCATTGCAGAATCAAGTAACGTGCAAAAAGCAGTATAGAAAATAATTAATTCACAAACAGTTAATAAGAAAAAAAAACGAGAATAATGTCAGCATGGATGTGAATCAAATGAACAAGCATTTTGTCAATACAGTGGCGGAGATTGTAAATAAAATCAAGGTGACCAATTCGTTTGATCACTACTTGAAAAGAAAAAGCGTCTCCGGCCACCACTGCTGCCTGTGGGCCGCAGCGGGCTAGCACATAATTACAGTACTCGTGTGATTACACGAGTACTATAATTATGTTTCTAGCCCACTTGTAATATAAATAACTATTATTGGACAGAACCTCCATCTCGCCGCAGAACTTATTTCTGTTTCTTTTTAACCCTTCGTCTCTAAATGGTTTTTTAGCACCTTCCGTCTGTAAAGGTGGGTCTTTCGGGTCCGGACGTTTGTTCATCCTGTTAATGCACTCAAAAAATTTTATAAATAATTCATGATAATGTTCGAAACCTTCAACTTGATAAATCAATCATAAAATTATCGAAAAATTTATTTTTGCATACATATTTTTTTATATGAAATGAAGAAACTATTTGCCTAAACAGTTGTAGTTCGGACAGGAAATACCCAGGTTTACAGAGGAAGGGTTAATTTATAATTCGCTTAAATCGCTCGAAAAAAATTAGAGAGACATAACATTGCAAAACTGATAACAGTATCTGACAAACGCAATTATTTGACACATTTTGGTTAAAACCGCGTTGAAATCCACCCAGCCGTTTTCGACATAACGGTGTCCAACTAAATTGTGATTTTTGAATATCGTAAAAATAAAATATGCCCCGTATTAAGAACACATCAGACTACCACCTGTTTAAAATTGAAATTTTTGCGTACCTACGATAGTTTTCGAGAAAAAAAATCGCAAAGTTGACAAAGTTTAAAGTCATTTAATTCGCGATAAAAAGAAAATTTTCAAATTAACATATGTTACGTAGAAATGTTCAGCGATTACAACAAACTTTGTAGCAATTTTTTTATCGAGCCTTGACTTTTTGCACCGATAGTAGGACTATTTGAACGAATACGAAATTCAATGAGGCGAAGGGTAGAATCGTACGTTGCTGCTGAGGGGCGGCATTTTCAACATTTATTATGACTTCTTGTTGATAACGTTGTTATTATTTGTTTTCGTAGTTTTTTTAATTGTTATTAGTACTACAATTATTATTATTCAATTTATTATTGTGATATTTCTTAATTTACTACCATTCTTTTAATAAAACCTTATTTATAGTTGTGCAGAATATTTTTAGTCCATACGTATAAAACTCTCTAGCAATTTGAGAACATTTTTTGTGATCAAATTAACAATTTTAGGAGAAAATGTTAAGAGACAGAAAAGTTGCAAATGGAATCCCTCTATTTAAATCAAGTTTTTAAATGAAAAAATGTACACGAATTAAAAAGTTCTGATGCAAAATATTATAGGGGTTGATTTTTTCACCCCCTTGTAACAACATTTTAGGGTTACAAAAATCTTGAAAACGTGTCATTTTATTAGCAACAGTTATCTGCCAAATTTCATTCTTCTAAATTCCTCTATAGTGGATTTATTAAATAAAAATAATTATTTCCCCTAACTTTATAGGGTTATAACTTGGAGGAGAAGGGGTTTTGAACAAAAAGTTATATGAAAGACACCCCTTAGTTTTTGCTGAAAAATCACTCCGTGAAATCTTTCGCATCAATTTAGAAACACCTGTATAATATGCTGAAAAAGAATCTACTACAGTTTGGAATTTTTCATAAACACTTGAGCATCGATGAAGCAATGGTTCCTTATCATTGATATTATTCTGTGAAGATGTTCATTAAAAACAAACCGATTCGGTTTGGTTTTAAAGTGTGGATGATGTTGGGAGCCGATGGTTATCCATATAACATAGAAGTCTATTGTGGGATATTGCAATTTTGCAACCTATAGGTAAGTACGGGATGCCATAGTTCACTATAGCTGCCAACGTTCTCCGAATTGGAACATGCTATTTTGAAAATCTTAATATTCTTTTTTCTTTTTAGTGGATAATTGCCTAGATAGGTATATAAAACGATTTCTGAAAATTTTATCAATAAAAACAATCTTTTTCATACCTCAGCCTCTAAAATGTTAAACCGTGATATTATGCGAAGTTATATAGAATATGGAAAAAATAAAACATGCCCCTCATTAAGAACACATCAGGCTACCACTTGTTCAAAATTGAAATTATTTCGTCAGATAGTTTTTGAGAAAAGAAATCGCAAAGTGGACATAGTTGCCGGCACCCTCAAAAATCGACTTGCGATTTTACGAAAATCACAAATATAAGGTAGAAATGTTCAGTGATTGCAATAAATCTTACGGCAATGTTTTTCATGGAACGGTGCTCGATATATCGATCTTTAAACTGACGAGAATTAACTTTTAAACGTGTTTGGCATGAAATAATATCCTGAATACCAGAAAGTCACATTTGTAGCAGTGTACTGAAAATTTTCTACCAAATTGTTAAAGATTTTTCGAAATTAAAAAGCTGGTCATTTGGTCTGACAGTGAGTCCTGTATTGCCAGGAATAGGAATAGTATTATATCTCTTGGACTGCAGTATTTCATCGAAAATCATCCACAAATAGCACGAATACAACAAAAAATCACCGAACCTGGATATAGTAACGTCCAAGAAGTACATGCAGTGCATAGCCTTTTAGAAAGAAAAATTCGTTTTACCGAAATTTTAGTCCTTTATTATTACTAAAGAACCCGGTTACCAACCATTAACATGTCTACAAAAAAACTTATTGTAATAAAGATTTTTTTGATTTTCAAACATTAACAAAAAATTTGCCTGTAATAAAGTCTTTTATTCAAAAGCAAAATTTAAGGAAATAACTCCATCATTGTATATTAAATATAAAATTTCCCTCGATGGTATTTTGACAACCGTTCAACTAATTTTACTAATTGAAACTGGATGTAACCGAAATCAATGCAATAGACCCAAGAGTAATATTAATATAGACTACTTTATGAACAATGTAAAATGCATTTCAAATAAACCATCGTTGGATGTAACGAAAAAGGCAGATATTAAATTTATTTTAAATTCAAGAACTCCTTCCACAAATTGACCAAAAATTCATGCCACAAATTGACCAAAACTTTTATAAAGTGTACAGGGTGGGCAAATTTGGGTGTTATTATAGGCTATCTCAGAAACTATAAGAGATACGAAAAAAGTAGGTGCCATGTCCCGGTCTCTTTTTTCGAAACTAACCCAATTCCGCAAACACCAGACTTCTATCTTCTTTTGTTTTTAAGTTATAGCCAAAAAGTAAAATTATCGTGATTTCAAAAAAAGCTCATATTTCGTTTATTTTTGAAATTAGAGAAATGGGGTTAACACGTTCTTAAGACACTTTTTTAAGTAGAATATACTGCCGTTGAAAAATTTTAAAAATATTTGATGATTTTTGAGATACAACACAAAGTTGTATTTTTTTAAATACAAACTATAGTAGATTATGGTGTTACTGAAAAGAGCATATTTTTAGCTTTCCAATGATGTATTGCACGCATGGTGTATTTGGGGAAAATAAACATTATTTTTTAATTCTAAAATATTAAAGATTAATATTCAAAATTTTAATTATAGTAGGCGAGGAAAACGTTAAATACCACTTAGTTACTATAGTAACGTGAGTTTACTGATCATTTCATTCATGAATTTTTCGAAACCAGTTTCCCGCTTAAAAATACATAAAGCGATAAAATTAAAAAATGATTCTTTGAAAATGATAGATAAGGCTCCATATCTCATATAAACATCGTTTCAATGGAAAGTCCGCTGCCCAGTTTATGATCCCTAATCTTCCTCTATCGCACTCAATTTCAAAAGAAAAGGTAGCTAATACGAAAAAACTTCTAAATCTCATGATTGGGGAAAACTGGGAAGATACTACCGAAGGTTTCATTCATTGATACCCAACCGTTCTAACCTTACAACCAGTAAGTTTAGTAGAAGAAGATGACACAGTCTGTGACTGTTTAGTTCCTGAAGTTATTGTTCATATTTAATTATTCATTAATTAATACGTTTCTTGTATTTTTAATAAACAAACTTTATCTACAAATCATTTTTTACTAATAAACAAAGTCAGGGATAAGACACTGAAAAATTTAAATCAACTATTCAAAGTTTTTATTCGTTGGTACAAAACCAACTTTATCCTGCATAATGGTACAAGACCAACTTTCTGTCATATTCGTGCAAAACCATAATATAGCAATTAGGTAGTAATTAATGTCCTAACCCGCCTACTATAATTAAAATTTTGAACTTTAGCGCTTACTATTTTGGAATTGAAAATTAACGCTTATTTTCCGCAAATACACCATAGATGCGATACATCATTGGAAAGCTAAAAATATGCTCTTTTCATTAGCATCATAATCAAGTATAGTTTGTATTTAAAAAAATACAACTTTGTGTTGTATCTCAAAAATCATCAAATATTTTTATAATTTTTCAACGGCAGTATATTCTATTTAAAAAAGTGTCTTAAGAACGTACCCAACCCTATTTCTCTAATTTCAAAAATAAACGAAATATGAGCATTTTTTGAAATCACGAAAATTTGACTTTTTGGCTATAACTTAAAAACAAAAGAAGATAGAGGTTTGGTGTTTGCGGGATTGGGTTAGTCTCGAAAAAAGAGACCGGNAAGGTTGAATTTGTGTGCCAATTCACATGTTTTCATGCCTGCTTCAAAATCCTTCACAATACCGTGTTTTACTCCGAGCAAAAGCTCAAGTGTTAAAGTTTTACGTTTTCTTGGAATATTTGGATTTTCTTGACATAATAACTAATATGTAAGGAAATGAATAAAGCTTACGTTGTTCTAAAACACTATTAAAGATATTCTTATAAAGTGACTAATTAAATCTCGATGGATTATCATACGAAACTACTGTGAATGAGCTAATATATTATGATGCAATCTTCTACTGAGCGAAGTAGGGGAAGAACCGCCTAACTACGTATCTACGGGTTTACGCAAGTCGAGGATTACTGTACTCTTCTTTTTATCTAATTTCATCTCATTTTCGATTAATACCAATCCATATAATGATATATTCTTCAAAGTCTTTTTCACTTCCAGCTAGAATTGCGATATCATCTGCAAAGCCGCATTCAGAAACACTAATTGTTTTAAACTCCTTTAGCCTAGAACATTGGTTTACTATTGTTAGGGTCTCTTTGATCAGTTTATCCATAAAGGCTATAAATAATAACCTTTATCTTGCTGCTTCTATAGTGGTGATGGGAATACCGCTCAAAACCGTGTCGCGCTCCAGGAACGGTCGCTACACAAAAATACCGTTCCAAAATACCGTGACCTTGTGTAAGTTGCACAAGGTCACGGAAAGAAAAATTAAGAAAAAGAAGAAAATTAAGAAAAAATTAAATATTCCCTACCCATAATTATCATAATTTTAAAAAAATACGCGCTATCCGAAAATTGAAAAACAAAAATATATTAAGGGAGCCTTGAACAAATATCAATATAACGACAAAGACAGTCAGATTACTACTGGCTTTGTCTTTGGAATCGGGTATTTTAAAAAACGCGCCGGAATTGTACGTTCCATTAGAATACGAATCACTACAAATATATACGTATATTAGTAACGTTCTGTAACGGGTATTTTAAAATCGCGTGGAAGCGGTACGCTCCTCAAAAATACCGTCCCATCACTAATACTTAACAAGAAATCGATTTACTGGTAGCGGTGGTTCAGATAACATATTATTTAAAATTATAAATTTCTAAATAAAAATAATTCTGAAATAAAATCGGAAAATTTTGTAGAAAACTTCCACTTCTTTCCATATCTTTCCATTACATAAGCGAGAATCTAGAATACAACCAGAATACTCTCGACTCTCACAACTTCGAATAGCATTATTTTTCTGAAACGTTAGAGAATGTTCGAGAAACATCGCGAACTCAATCGGACGAGTATAAAAGCGAACTCTCCCGGCGCCAAATCAGTTCTATTTCAAATACGATAGTGAGCGAATCAAAGCGAACTTACGACAGAATACCAAAAACAGTTCAACTACAATATTAAATTATTCGAATTTATTTAATTTATAAGTACAAGAAAAACAATTAAAATGGTAAAAGCACCAGCAATCGGTATCGACTTAGGAACCACCTACTCCTGCGTCGGAGTTTGGCAACAAGGAAAAGTGGAAATTATTGCAAACGATCAAGGTAATCGCACAACACCAAGTTATGTGGCGTTCACAGACACAGAACGTTTAATTGGAGATGCGGCGAAGAACCAGGTTGCGATAAATCCCGTCAACACAATTTTCGATGCGAAGAGATTAATAGGAAGAAAATACGACGATCAAAAAATACAAGACGATATCAAACATTGGCCTTTCAAAGTTGTTAATGATGGGGGAAAACCGAAAATGCAAGTTGAATTTAAGGGCGAATCGAAACGATTCGCACCGGAAGAAGTTAGTTCGATGGTTTTGACGAAAATGAAAGAAACGGCCGAAGCGTATTTGGGTTGTGCCGTGAAAGATGCCGTCATTACTGTTCCAGCTTACTTTAATGACTCTCAACGTCAAGCCACTAAAGATGCTGGTGCAATCGCTGGATTAAACGTTTTGAGAATTATTAATGAACCAACAGCTGCTGCTTTAGCTTACGGTTTAGATAAAAATCTGAAGGGAGAAAGAAACGTTTTAATTTTCGATCTTGGCGGAGGTACTTTCGACGTCTCAATTTTAACAATAGATGAAGGGTCCCTCTTTGAAGTAAGAGCAACGGCCGGTGACACTCATCTTGGTGGAGAAGACTTCGATAATAGGCTGGTTAATCATTTAGCCGAGGAGTTTAAACGAAAATACAAGAAGGATCTTAGAAGTAATCCTCGCGCACTTCGACGTTTAAGAACGGCAGCTGAACGAGCTAAAAGAACACTTTCTTCGAGCACTGAAGCATCCATTGAGATAGATGCCCTTTACGAAGGTGTTGATTTTTATACCAAAATATCCCGAGCTAGATTTGAAGAATTGTGTTCGGATTTATTCCGAGGAACTTTGCATCCGGTCGAGAAAGCTTTGCAAGATGCCAAAATGGATAAAGGTTCCATTCACGATATTGTATTGGTGGGAGGTTCAACGCGTATCCCAAAAATTCAATCTCTCCTACAAAATTATTTTTGCGGCAAAGCTTTGAATTTATCAATTAACCCAGATGAAGCGGTTGCTTATGGCGCAGCTGTCCAAGCAGCCGTTCTCAGCGGTGAAACCGATAGTAAAATTCAAGATGTGCTTCTCGTTGATGTAACTCCACTGTCATTGGGAATTGAAACAGCCGGTGGTGTTATGACCAAAATTATCGAGCGCAATAGCAGAATTCCCTGTAAACAATCTCAAACGTTTACTACATATTCCGATAATCAACCAGCAGTAACGATCCAAGTATTTGAAGGCGAACGTGCTATGACTAAAGACAACAATCTTTTGGGAACCTTCGACTTGACCGGTATCCCTCCGGCACCTAGAGGAATTCCAAAAATTGAGGTTACGTTCAATTTAGATGCCAACGGCATTTTGAACGTCGACGCTAAAGATACCGCTTCCGGAAAGAGTCGTAACATTACCATCAAGAACGATAAAGGTAGATTATCGCAGCAAGATATCGATAGAATGCTATCCGAAGCTGAGAAATACCGCGAAGAAGACGAGAAGCAAAGGAAAAGAATATCAGCGCGAAATCAATTAGAAGGTTATGTGTTTGGTTTAAAACAAGCCGTTGATGAAGCTGGGGATAAATTAGACGAATCTGATAAGAGTGCCGTTCGGAGAGAATGCGAGGATTGTTTGAGGTGGTTGGATGGTAACACTTTAGCTGAAGTTGAGGAATACGAAGAGAAGCAGAAGAAATTGTCTTCGATTTGCAATCCAATTATGGCAAAAATGCATGGTGGAAATGGAGGTGGTCAAATGCCTTCTGGTAATTGTGGTAGTCAAGCCGGTGGTTTTGGAAACTATCAAAATCGGGGGCCAACTGTTGAAGAAGTCGATTAAAGTGTGATTTATTTTGGTAGTTCCTAAAATGTCTACTATAACTAATTATGTAAATTTTAAATATGTATGTTATGTTAAGTACAATCAGTATTTATAGCTTTTACATTCAATGTGATATAACTAATTAATAAATTGTGTTTTAATACTTTATAAAATTGTTTTAATTCATAAATATCGTCACCTAAGAATTATTTTGAACTATGTCCAGTTTTGTGTTGTAGGCAGTTACAACCACTACATTATATTATATACCAATTCCCTGCTACTTAGTGATAACAGAGTATGCAACCACGTGACATAGCACTCGGTTCAAAATGATAGTTTCAATTAATTACTGATCTCTCCTGACAGTATGAGTTAATAATTATGTTTTAGTGGTCTTTAGTGGAAAAAGTGTCAATAAACAACCAATACTGGATGTATTACCTTTAACGTAAGTACAAGTATGGAGATAAAAGAAATTTCTAACTTACATAATCTTCACACTCCAACGTAAGTAATGTTCTTTTGTTTTAAGTATAAGTACGTTTCATAATTTATGAACGTTTAAAATGGTTCCAATCAACTCCAACAAACATCTATTTCGGAAACGGGTAAGAAATGTCGAAGAATGGAAGCAGAACGTGAGACAGCGGCGTAGACAAGTTGGGCTGGGTTATTTTGAGTTATACCGGATGATGCATTTAAATTGAGACGACCTTATAACTCATAAACGATAAATTTTGTTGAAAAAAAGTTTCAGATAAAACTTTCACCAGTTGAGAAACGCTGGTATAAGATACTCTGATACAACAAATGACCATCTATTTGACAGCATTTGAAAAATAATCGCGCCAATTTAGAGCTTTTTTGAATCAACGTTGACTGAAATATGGGGGTTTAAAGAGCAATGAAATTTGCCAAAATTTTTTATCAAAGTCAACATATTTTTTTAAGTACAATTAAAAGGTGCAATAAAAACGATAGCATTCCATTTAAAATAACCAAGTTATGGTCCAAGGTTTATATACATGTGTCCCAAAACTCAATGTCAAGCGGATACCGAGTGAGAGGCCAACCCAAACCTGTTCTGGTAAAAATAAAAAAAAAATCCACATTTTTGAAAATGTTAAAAATTGTTCTCGTACATCATAGCTTTAGGTACTACGGTCAGAAATGGTCGTGATTTTTTTAATAATGGAATCCAATCAAACAACAAAAGTCGTTAATTTTCCGAAAAAAATATTAGTTTTATCAAGTTAAAGTTAAAAGAATTTATGTCTATTAAAAAGACTACAGCACCCTTGGCAAGTAATTAATTTTAAAAGATGGCTTGTTTAGTCAAGTTTCCAAAATGGTATAACACTTGCCATTTTTCTTTTCATAAAAAATATTATTGCCTGTTTTTCTGCAAAAAAACACGTTATTTAAAAAATTCATACCTTCGTATGCTATTTGTATTTACGATTTATTTCCTCTTAACTTTGTTAGAAGATGTGCCAGACAATATCTACGAACTACAAAATGTAGTTTCAATAAGATGGTTGCACTTATGTCTTGTAGAAAGATTGTTTCGAATATGGTTGTTAACCTAAAGACAAAATTAAACAAAATTAATATTTATTATTATTAATTTTATTGCATTATTTTCTAAAAAATTTTCTAAAAACTAAAGCAAATTCTCAAATTTTTTGCTATCGGCACTACTACAAGCGCTGTATCATCGCAGAAAATATCTTTTTACTAGTTGTGCACATTAAAAAGAGTTTTTTTCAATTTAAACTTTTTATTATAAATGATTATAACCTTTGAATTTCCATTAAAGGTCGAGAATTTGCAGTTACATTACGTTTTGCGGTCGATCTTTAAATTTCTTGGTCTATTTTAAACCATATGGATTAACTGTCATACTGTGTAGAGTTTGTATTGTCGTCCTCTGTAGTAGCAATAATAGGAGTACTTTCATCGGTTGATGTTGAAATCATTCCACTCAACAGGCGTTATACGTTTTGGAAGACATTTTCTTTGGCATCGCTTTGCTCAAATGCAATGTCTTTAAACCTAGGATCAAGAAACGTGTATACGGCGTGGGTGTTACTTCTTTCTACATTACCCAAACGCTCTTTAAGGTTATTTATAAGCTTGTTTAAAGCTGCCCAAGTGGGTTGTGATAATTCATACGTTAGGAGAATTTGTTTAGATATTTCTAGTAAGCCATTCGTCAAAACAATTATCAAAGATGCTGTCATATATTTTTCATCTTCTACAGCTTTAGTGGCGAATTCAAAGGATTAAAATTTTTGTTATTGCTTTTAATGTCTTCCAATAATTCCGAGATATGTGGAGCAATTGACGTCAAGATGAGCTGCAACATGTAGAAGGTGGAGTTCCACCTTGTTGATACATCCTGCAATAGTTTCTTTGGAATATCCACTTCAAAAAAAATTGAAAAGTTAGCTTCTTGAAAAGTTAAGAGTTTTTGCATCGCAATGAAGCTTTTTTTGAAATGTCTCACAATTGTCAATTAATCTCTTAACACTTTCAAGATTAAGGGCATCTTTAACGATTAATGTATTATTAATGTATGTGCAAAACAGCCGAAGTATTCCCAACCAATATTATTAAAAGCTTTTTTAATATTAAATACATTGTCCGAAACTTTTGTTGTAATATGTCTAACTTTATGTGCCAAATTTTCGGCACTATGCTGCTCTGGCATCTTTTCGCATGTCAACAAAATCGATTTCAATTCAAATACGTTGCTAATGAAATGAATTGTAACGCCTATAAAACTCTCATTATTGCATGATGTCCAGCAGTCCGTTGTCAGACCACAAGTGCTAATTTCTCCGATTATTCTTTTTACTGCTGTCATGCATTTCTCGTATTCTGATGCAATTAAAGTGTTAGAAATTAGCTGCCTGCTTGGTAATTCGTCGGAAGGATTTAATATGCTTAAAAATTCTTTATCCTGTACAATTCTAAATGGTTGATAGTCTCGGTAAAATAGTTTTAGTAGTGACAAGCCAATTTTTTTTCATAGCTAAAGGTAATTTTGGTGCGCCCTACGCCTTTATTCCTGTTTGTTTGCGTTTTAATCTTACTACTGCTTGGGAATGCTCTTGTGATTTATTCTAGAATATTAATTAAAATGTTTACAGGGAAAGAACTTTCAACGACATTTAATAAAATATGTTAACCAAAGCCAACATAAGCTAAAAAAATAAAGAAAGGTTCTTTCGAACCTGTCCTGATTCGGAATCTGCCGAGTGAACTTATTATTACCCTATTATATTTTCGAGTAGAATTTCGGTATTGACGGTGAAAAACATCCAAATCGGACTTCGTTTTTTACTCATTTTTTTAACTGAATTAACTGCACTTAACTCAGGTCGATCTTATTTTCTCTTTCACATAAATATGCTAGTGTCTTTATTACTTTATATAGCCGAAGTTTTTCGTACAGTAGCCGCTTAAATTAGTTATTTATTTTGGAACTGTTACTTTTTAGGAACAGGAACATACTGTACCTGTTCCACAAAAATGCAGTTAATAATCCTACTTACTTGTTAATACCTTGTGTAATAATCCTCGATATAACGGACCTCGTTATAATGGACTTCGGATATAACGGACAAAATATTTTAAATTAATTGTTTTTAATAATGTAAAATTTTTTAATTTGAAATAACAAAATAAAATTTCCGCTAAGTATAAAAATTTGAAATATTTTTAAGTAATATTATTAATATAATATGTATAACCAGAGTTTCTCTATGCGCTCTGTATTAAGTTCTGTATTAAGAATAAAAATCCGGGTATTCCCAGAGTTCTCTATTCGAACGGTCATAAATAGCTGTCCGAATTGAGTGCGGGAAGTTAGCCCCCCATTTTTCGATTTTAAAATTTATTGTTATAAGTGGTTCTAGAGTTGTTCTACATTGTTCTAAAGTGGCAAATAGAAAAAATAAAAACTCAGCGAGAAAAACCGAAATACGGGTTTTTTGACTGGCACCTTCCCAGAACAACCCAGTTGTTCTGGGTTGTTCTAGTTATTCTAGTTATTGCTCCAGAAAATCAAAATTATGGGATACATCATTACGAAGTTATAACTAAAAATAGGTTTGGTTGCTAAAATGTCTAGTTGATTGCTATGACCATAGTTTTTTTATTTTCAATTCCACATTACAAATATATACTTATTATACCTAAAGCAATCTGGAACAGCTGTTATTTTCAGTAGAACAACTCTATAAAGGACACTTTACTCTTTGAAAATTAAAGTTTTTGTAAGTTTCAGTCAGTAATTCTTGCGTCAGTGGTTTTAAATTACACAATAACAATTAAAAAACATATAACGATCTAAAATAACTCAAACTGTTTTACGTTTAAACTAGGGAAAAAAGGTTTTTCTGGTTACACGGACATTAATTTTGCAAAATCATATTCAATCAGCAAACAAAAGTACACTATTTGTATTATACATTATGTATTAAAAACTAAATATCGCTGTGTCCCATCCACACAGAGATATATTTATATATACTATATTTGTTCCCATATATTAATAAAATAAAATATTAAAATTCGGATGAAGAATTATACAGGTTTCCCAAAAGTAACGGATAAATTCGTTAAAACCACTAATAACAGTTTATGAAAAAATAGCTGAGACGGGTCTAAGAATTTATATTTTTTGCAATTTTTTGGTAGAGATTTCAAATTTTTTCCGCCATTATGACGTCATCGCTAGTTTTTTCAAATAGCAATCCCCCATTTTTATTATGGAATATGAAAGAGGATTTTTTTCTGAATTTGGTACCGCCAAAATTAATACTAGCTACAGAACAAAAATTTCGAGAAATATTGCCTTGAAGTTTCATGATTTCCCATTCATTTGAGGTAGAAGAATAGCAGTAGCCATATATAACCACGGCAACGAGTTGTTTCAGGTATTTTATTAAGACAATGATTAATTTTTGATATCTGAAACTGTTGGCTGCCATGGTTAGCTACTGCTATTTTGCTATCTCAATTGAATAGGTCGTGTTCAATACGATTCAGGTCAGGACTTAACGCCTGCCATTCCATAACCTGAATTTCACGTTCTTGCAAAAAGTTACTGGTGATACCGGCGGTATGTGGCTTTGCATTGTCCTGCATTAGGATGAAATTTTGATCGACCTCATATGAAACAGGCACCACATTTAGTCTACCAGGAACAACAACAAGATCAGTTCTGTTGTCTATACTGATTCCAGCCCAAAGCATAACAGATTCCCGACCAAATCTATTCACTTCCTGTATAATAACGGCTGCATAGCGTTCATCAAGACGTCTAAATACACGTACTCGGCCGTCGCAACGAGTTAAACGAAATCTAGACTCGTCTGTAAACAGTGCAGGCGTCCAGTGACGAAGTTGCCAATCTCTGTAATCCAGTACAAACCTCATTCGCGCTGCTTTGTGACGCTGCGTAAGGCGTGGTGCGCGGACAGGTCTTCTAGGTTTCAAATTAGCTTCTTTTAATCTGTTTCTAACAGTTTGACCAGAAATTTTTATTCCATGTGCTCGTCTTAGGTCGTTTAGGAGGTCTCGTGATGTGGCAGTACGCATACGTAGACAGGAAATGACAAGAAATCGGTCTTCATTTTGAGTAGCTTTTCGATTTCGACCTTGTCCAGCTCTTCTAACATGTTGGTCAGTCTCCTGAAACCAATTGCATAAACTCTGAATAACAGAACGGGAAACTCGAAGATCCCTGCTAACATGTCAAACAGAGTGGCCATGCTGAATAAGGGCGACAGCACGAGCAACTTGCACTTCTAATCAACGAAAATTGACAACTGAATTCATTTGTCATCTTTAGTAAGCTTTCATTCGCGAATTCAAAGCATACTTGACATTTTTCAACTTTGTTTTGCGTTATTAATTTACATTTTTAAGTGTAACCTAGAAGTAACTAAGAGTTGTAATATTGTTTTTGTAAAATATATAATATAAATAAAATATATAATATTGTCTGGCGTTTTCGCAAAAGACATGGAATTTTTAATAAGCGAATTTAAACCGAAGCTATTAGCGCCCCAAAAGAAGATATTGAACCTTTCCGACAAAAATTAATAGAACGGATAAATCTCGAAATGTTATTGTAATCTCAGATTTATAATACCTACTAATGAAACTGGTCTGTTATGTCTGTCTGCTTTGTGCTAACGCTGATGGATTGCATAGACTAACAAAAGGCATAATAATGAATACTCTTCCCGTTTCGTATTATAATTCACAAAAGGCGTGGTTCACAGCAAATATATTCAAAGATTGGTTTTTTACAGAATTTATATCTGCAGTCAGAAAATTTCAAGAGGAGAAGCTTGAAATACCAACAGATGATGTAACATGTTTATTGCTTTTAGACAACGCACCTGCTCATCCATCTGAATATATTTTACGATCCGACGATGGTAAATTTAATGGTAAATTTAATTTATGTTTTTGCCCAAAAATACAACATCGATAATTCAGCCCATGGAATAATTTTAGCCACCAAACGAATATGTAGACGAACATTTTTAGACGAGGTAATGATTGTGTTGGAGGACGAAGAAAGCGAAAAAGACACAAGAGGACAACGCACGTTCGAAAATTTTAAAAAGGCTAATTTAAAATCCACATTTTTTAATTTCGTGGCTGTATGGAAGGAATTAAAAGCCAAAACATTAGAAAATGGGTAGACGAATCTATTTGACGACCAACATGAAGATGCCATATTGATACTGCCATACAAAATAGCGTTGGAGGAGAAGTAGCCGAAGAAAACATATTACAATGGCTAAAAATGGATGAAGGTGATCCTGGTTATCATATTATGACGGAACATGAAATAGCTGATGAAGTAAGTGATGATGGTGGATAACGAGCTTGAAAGCGAGGATAGCGAGGAGAACGAAAGATTCCCAAAGATAAAATTGTCAACGATCAGATCGCATCTCAACGATTTAATAACATTTATAGATGATTCATCAAATAAAGAAATGCCATTGTATCATGCACATTTCCGTAATTTTAGGGAGTTAATCATAAAAGAACAACAAACTTCAAAAGTGCAAACAAAACTTGATTGTTTTTTTAAAAAAGCATTGCCAACCACAAGCGCTTCAACATCATTTTACAGTATACACATATCAGAAGTAAAGTTTTTCGTGTAACTAATATGTTTAGGTATATAAATAAAAAAATATATGACATATCGTCGGCTTAGTAAGAAAACCACGTAACTCCGATTTTTACCAAAAATGAGATTTTGATGTATTATGCAACAAATTATTAAATCTACCAATTTCGAAAACTGTACGTGTATTGAAATACACGTTTCCGCTCAAATGCTTAAAATGAAAAGCACTTAACTCCGACTGTCAAATCAAAAAAAAAAAAGAAAAACGCGTAACTCCTAATGCTCCTAATCATTTTATAAGTTGACAGCTTGGGTGAATCTTGCTGTGATATTTCTTCCGGTGAGTTTATAAATTTTTATACCGAATATTTATTCGATTTAAATAGTTATTTGTGTATCAAGGTCGCGAAGTGTTAGAAACAGTTACCGGCCTTGTTATACAGTATGAAATAAATGAAAATTTCGTAATCAGCATTCAAAAATTAAAAACGTTATTCATAATTATCTTGTAATATAAATAACTTTGCATTCAAAAAAAGTATTATTAGCTCTACAACGTTTGAACGAATCAGCTGAAATAAATTTTATTGTAAATAAAGCCATCGGAATTTTAACGGCAGTATTTGGTGAATCTAATGTAGAACACGAAATTTCAATGATGAAGTTACTATAGCAAATACTAGTGAAGTTTTAGTAAGCAAAGAGGAAACAGTTTCAAATGGAGATATTTTATTGTTAGATATTATTAATGTTACGCAACTACCTACAGTTGAACGTTAGACAATACTACGGAATACCCTGCTAAAGAAAATTATGTAGCCAAACCCTTACTTCCTCGTTCTGAAATAGCTGCATCGACAGATAATATTACAGAAAATAAAAACCCTAATGAAGAAGAGCATTTTGCTAAAACTTCTTCTTCCAAATTCTGAAGACGACGATGTCAAGCAAAAGGTTTCTAATAGTGATAAAAATTATGACAATATCGTTGAAGCAAACGAAAATGTTCTGCCTGCTTCCGATCAAGGTACGAACATTGAAAGACCTGAAAATATTTTAAGCATTAAAACTAGAAACAAAAGAAAAATACCTTCGGAATGGAAAGGCAATGTAAACAAGGACAGGCGTTTAAGAGGATTACCTTATTTAGGCAAGAAAAAGCACGGACAAAATTGGGAGTATAATATTCATAAACCGGGTAAATTTTTAGGAAACCCCTGCAACTGTTCTCTCAGTAAGAAAAAATGTGCACCTTAACTGAAGAAAACCGATTAAAAATATTTCAAGACTTTTGGAACAATCTGAATTGGAGAGAACGGAAGGTGGAGGTACAATCTTTAATAAGAACTACTAACGTTGAAATACGAAAGGAAGAGGTCAAGATATTCTTTCTAAACGAAAATTATCTATTACATATTTTTTTAAAATTGGATTAGAAACCATAAGAGTTTGTAAGCGTACGTTCCTTGGAATTATAGGTTTAAAGGAAACCATGGTGCTGATGTGGATTAAAGGTAGTAAAAAAATTCGGGTGTGTTTCAATTTTTTCAATCTCTTCCCAAACTAGAGAACCATTACTGCAGAAGTTCGTCGCAAAAGATTTATTTAGAACCAATATGGCAATCCAAAGCAGAATTATATAAGTATTTTAAAGATAAGTATTGCGTAGAAAAACAACTAAAATGTTCATCCATTTTTACATTTTCAAAAATATACGAAGAACTAAATTTATCTTTATACGCTCCTAAAAAAGATCTATGCGATGTATGTGAGACTTATAAAACAGGCAATTTGTATGAACAAGAATATCTTAATCATCAAAATTAAAGCAAGAAGTACGCGATGAAAAAGGAAGAGACAACGCTTCCACTGGTTTAGAAGTGAATGTTTACGCAATGGACTTCCAATCTGTTTTACTGATTGGAAGTCCTAAATCTAATGTATCGGCCATGTAGTATAAAACAAAATTGATTGTGCACAACTTCACTTTGTATAAATGAAAGACTCGGGAAGGTTTTTGTTTTTTGTGGAATGAAAGTGAAGGTAACTTAACATCTAATGAGTTTTCTAGTATGTTGTCCTACTTTGTGAAAACACACGTATCATACCAGAATCATTTACGTGAATTAATCTTTTATAGTGATGGCTGTACAAGCCAAAATCGAAATTCTACTTTAGCCAATCCTTTTTTAAATCTAAGTATAACTCACAATATAACAATAACCCAAAAATATTTGTGTAAGGGTCATACACAAATGGAGCATTCCACCATTCAGCGAAAGATACGAAATTGTAAAGTTAATGTTCCTGCTGATTATGTTTATCATTGTACAAAAGCCAGACAAAAACTTGCACCTTATGAAGTGAAATATTTTGTTCATATTTTTTTTAAAAAGTTTGATGGTTTAAAGTTTTATAATTCGATTCGTTCAGGCAGAGTTGTCGGCGATCCCACAGTTGACATTATATACCTCTTTCTGGTCTTGGAATAACCCTCACTTGTGGTAAGTATTAAAGTTTCATATTTGCCTTATAACAGAAAAAACGTGTTTGGGACTGATTTTCTGTATAAGGTTTTACTGTACTGTTATTTTTACCTTTAATAATATTTTAACATGAATTTTCTTTCATGATTGAAAGACATAGCCTTTAATCATGAAAGAAAAAAGATCTATTAACTTTTAATTCCAAATTACTGCGTTGTAGACATAGGGGACTTTGTTCAAAATAATTGTCAGATGTTTTTGTTAAACTTCATCAAATAAGCAAAGTCAAAGAACAAAATAGATATTAATAATAATTTATTACAAGACGTTTACTTTAAATGACAAGATAAATGTTACATAACCATAAAGTTTATAAAAAAAATTTGTCAATTTCATTTTTCTTAATAAATTTTTAAACCTTGCATTGCTTGTTCCAATTGAACCAANTAACAAAAATAAAATCAAAGTCTTTCAAAATAAATCGGACTTACGGTAAATTTGAAATACGGGTATTTCTAAGAAAAATTAGCGGGTGTCTTCGGAACTAATGACGGCGTTGCGGACTGTTGAAACTGTCGTAGAACTGATGAAGAACTGTTAAAAATCAGAATTTTGGCCGGCTATTTATACCATTTTGGGGCGAAAACTGGATTTTTCCGCGTGGGGGATCGTATCAGTACAAGTTATCAAAGACTAACTTACAATGCGCGGCGCTAATTAACAAAAATAGCAAAATTCTGACGGAGCTATCGGATGCGGGACACAAAATTACATAATTACAGTCTTTGAACGGATAAAATCGGCTAAGGAACGGCGGAGTAATTAACAATATTAATCAACAATAATTAATGGAAAAATTTATAACACAAATCAAAAGATACTTATACGGAAAATCACAAAAATATTTTTAACAAAATCGGCCATTGTTTACGGCACTTATATTCACAAACGTTTCCCGACCACGTGTTTCACGTTAAAACCAATTAATTGGTATTAATTTACGCGCACCTTAACACAAAACAACTCCAGCAGTTGGGCGATGTTCGGGGCAATCCTACATGGGCAATATTTTCAACGGATGACAATGGATGGTATTAATAATAAGCGGATCATCTTTAGAATCGTTCAACGGTTATTTCATATTTGTAAATGTTTGAAATCGGTTTGATCGGTTTACGATCGACGGTAGCTCGCTGGCTGCTGAAACTTCCTCGGGACGGTCGGCTGGACTGATAGAAACATGTGGCGTTTCGTATCTTGTTTGAAAATTTGTTAATTTCGGAATTATTTAATTATTTGATAATAATTTTTCGGAAAGCACATGTTTTCGTGATTCAGCAGTTTTATTAATTATTTTCATTTATTGATGATTTGGTCAGGGAACGTTGTTGGAATTTAAGATAGCGGTTTCGAAATGGAAAACGGAGAAAATCAAAGTCTAATTAAGAAAATTATCAAAATTAATAAAATGTGAATTGGGTTGCACAAACGGGCGGTGATAAGGAGATAAGATATCTCTTTCGGAATTTCTACAAATCGGGTGGAAACTGTAACGTATCGAGGTAGTGTGGGAAGTATACTCGGATATATTTAATTTTCGGTAATTTTTCGGAATATTCGGTTTTTGAAACATAAAAATAATGTAACTTCGTTACAAGACATAGTCAGCCATTTTGCAAATTAAATAGTAAAGTTAACAAAAAAATTGATCCCTGTTAATTTGATGATTTACTGCCTCTATACGTTCAACGAAGAAAAATAAAGAAAGAAAAATGCGATCATCTTCAGAACCTAAAAGCTGAACTTCTATTAGACTAACATAAATTTTATGATGAACTTCCTTACGAATAAGATACTTGTGGTTTATGTATTTAAAAGATGTTCCTATTAATAATGTAGCACTTAAGGAAAAATAATTATAGCAATAAGTTATTAACAATTATATAACAGACATTGCTGAAAGTATTAGTCCGTTATATCGAGGTTTTACTGTACCGTTATTTTTACCTTTAAGGCTCCTTAACCGAGACTGTCACCGTAGATTTCGAATTACTTCCTTATTTATTAATGGATTGGATTCATTTAACATTTGTCATGTTTCTACAATAGTTATGAACCCGGGGCAAGAACGGAAAATGAAATTTGAAGAAAAATATTGCTTTATTTTTTAAAATAGTAAGATTTTTACGATTTTTCTTCTTGGCCCGGAAGTAAAAGAATAAAATAGAAACATTACTCCTGTAGCACTTTTACGAAATATTAATAATAAACCCGTAATTAGTAATTTACGGATTACATTAAATTTTAATATTTTGGAATATATTTTGCTTCCCGGATCTCACGAGCGATGATTGGTTAAAGAAAAAAACATGTGGGCTGGCTATGTGAACCTCCGGCGAGTTTGTAACGAAAAAAAAATCGCATACATACATAAAAAACAAGTTTGTAGACATAGTTCTTGTCTACCGACTGCATACTATGAAAGGGAAGGAAGCTTACTTTTTCTGATATCGTGCTATAGAATGTTCTGATTATCGGTTTGCGCGTGAATAGGTACGAACCAAAAGTGTATTTTTATATTATTATTATTTTATACAAATACAGGGTGATTCTCAACCTATACGCATACTTGGGGATTTACTCCTCACGACGAATAATGACTAATTAAAAATTTGTAATAAAAGATTTTTTGTTTCATAGATATCCGTGATATTTACTTTCAAATCAAGAATACATAGAAAATTTTAAAATAACATCACAGCAAGTGTTCGAAGTGATTTTCCGTGTTTTCTATCAATTGGGAATCCCGGAATCCATTAGATCTCCCATTAGCGCGGTCTAAACCAGGGTGTTGGCGAATTGTCTGGGCAGCAGCATGTAAATGATTTTGCAATATTTGCTCAGTATTAACTTCCGTGACGTACACTTTGCTTTTTAAGTGACCCGACAAGTAAAAATCAAGAGGGTTGCGGCTAGGCAATCACAGTAGCCAGGCCATTGGACCATCTCGATCTATTCATCTTCCAGGAAACACATTATTTAGATTTTGAGAAACTAAAAAACTTTTACTACAATTTTTTTCATCTATTAGTGATTATTTGTCATGAGGAATAAATTCTGCGTATAGGTTGAGAAGCACTCTGTATACTTTCAAGTAACCCTAGAGAAGTGCCAAACGGCGATTTTCTTGAAACTTGGCATACAAGTAGGGTATAATAATAATAATAATAATCTTTATTGTGTTGTAGACAAATCAAAAAATTACAACAACAAACGTCATTTTTAAGATTTTACATTTTAAAATCTAAATATTCAGCAACATTATAGGGTTCTACATCGATTAGAAAATTGAACAAATCCTGTTTAAACGTACTAATTCTGGTAATATGTTTTATCGAGTTAGGTAATTTATTATATAATTTTAGGGCCGCATAACCAGTTGAAGTTTCACTAGCAGCTAGGCGATGTCTTGGGTAGCAATAATCGCGCCTATTTCGAGTTTCGTAATGGTGATTAAAAGAGTTTTATGAAAAAAGACTTTTGTTATTAAACAGAAAAACTAAAATCGCATAAATATATATTGCAGACGCAGTTAACAACCTATTTTTCCTAAAATTGCCTCTACACGATTGTCCGTAACTTAAACCGAGCATGGTGCGTATTATTCTCTTCTGCAACACAAATACGCGATGTAATTCGCTGTTGCCTCCCCAGACTATGATACCAAACCGTATTTGCGAATAGCAACAACCTTAGTAGCATAAATGTATAACGCGATCATTCACCAACTTTTTCATTTGACCTAGAGCGTAGCAAAAACTGCTCAACTTTTTACAGAGTGCATCAATATGCGATTTCCATTTAAGAGTGTCGTCGATAACCACTCCAAGCAAACGTACCCGTTCTTCAGTTGTATATAAACGATGATTGAAGGTTATAGTATTGGGATAAGAGCTATTTGTAGTTTTAAACAAAATAACGTTAGTCTTGTCATGGTTTATAATGAGGTCGTTGGTTCTGAACCACCAGTAACAATAGATTCAAAAGTATCACCATATAATAGAAAGCTGCGTAGTTAATAGGTATGGAAAAATATTCGACACGTATATTGTCATTTCTGCTCGATCACCGTTTTAAGGGTAGAAATCACCCTTTCTGATTTTAGAGATATGTTCGATTATTTTACGAATTATTTTTACGATTGTTTTTCTTCTGTTTTCATCTGGTTTACTTCTGTTTCAAAAACTGCAGTAACTTGTGTGAACTCTGCAATGATATTGCAATAATTACATATGCTTGGTGTTTGACATCAATGCACATGCAGGTAACAAACGACAACCCTTCACATTACTGTCTGTACTAATTTTAAAGTATAGGCCAAAAAACTTCCCGATTCGTGAGAGGCAAGGGGACTCACATTCAAAAAGCACCCCAATGAGATGAGAACCCTATCACGTCTACGTCGTTCATCCGGGGTAGCGCTAACAATAAAAAAGATTTGATTGTTACATGCATCATTACTTGTAGTGATGAGTTTCCATGATTCGTTACTGTTGGGGGTAGTTTTGATATTAACCGTTTTCTAGAAATTCGCCTTAAAATTATCCTCATTTCTAACATTTTTAAAAATTTTTCGCAATTTCTAAGGGTGTACAATTTTTAAAAAAGTGCGATCGCCATTTTGATCTCTCGAAAACGGACATCAGATTCGTCATCAGCGACGCCAAAAACCCGTAGTGAAATGATTTGGCAACAATCGTAAAAATAATTCGTAAAATAATCGAACTTATTTTCAATATCGGAAAAGGTGATTTCTACCCGTAAAACGGTGATCGGGCAGATATGACGATATACGTGTCGAATATTTTTCCATACACTACTTATATGCCAAGTTTCAAGAAAATCGCCGTATTGCACTTCCCTAGTATTACTTGTTAGAATTTGTAGAAAATATTTTAAAACTTAAGTCGAACCATGATTATTATTACCAAATTCAGGGACTACTTCATCTAGCAAAGAAAAAGAAATCTTATTTTTTGGTGTGGAGTCCTATTGGGTCCCCACACATTGAAATAATTGAAAGGGATGAATTGTTTTGGAATGAATATATCCAAAGTTAAAAATATTTTTCTATGACCACATGTTACCTGAACTAATAAAAAGTATGTTATAAGTAACTGTTCTTTACTTTGTAACATATATCTACCTAAAAAGCTAATTGTTAATGTCATGATAATTAAAGTTTGTTCTTATTAAAATTTCTAATAAGATAATCTATTATATTAAATTAAAAAAGAAGGTTGCAAGCAACTATTTACTCACTTTGGGTTTCACCAATATTTAATTTATTATTTGTATTCAATATAAATTTAGTTTAATAAATTTTAGGTACCCACAATTCTTAATTGTTTCAGGTTGTAAATACATTATTTATAAATCTATTTATTCATTCCTTCATTGATAAAATGCATAGTACCCAATAGGAAAACAGTGGGAATGTCTTGCCAATACATGCTATCCTTTTTTGAACTTTCGTTTCTCTGCCGTCAAACATATTCTCATCAAGCGGTTAAGGAGCCTTATTAATATTTTAACATGAATTAGACATAGCCTTTAACCATGAAAGAAAAAAGATCTATTAACTTTTAATTCCAAATTACTGCGTTGTAGACATAGGGGACTTTGTTCAAAATAATTGTCAGGTGTTTTTGTTAAACTTCATCAAATAAGCAAAGTCAAACAACAAAATGGATATTAATAATAATTTATTACAAGACGTTTACTTTAAATGACAAGATAAATGTTACATAACCATAAAGTTTATAAAAAAATGTGTCAATTTCATTTTTCTTAATAAATTTTTAAACCTTGCATTGCTTGTTCCAATTGAACCAAATTCCAAATAACCAATTGCCCATCCATTCCAGACGTACTAAAACTTTTAACATTACCTTTCTCACCCGAATAGACACAAATACTGCTTATAGCGTTTTGATGAACCGAATCCAAATTGGTATCATTAATTTCACTCCTCGAGTGTTTATCCAAAGATTGAAACTTTCGCATTGCACTCAAACCACCGGTTTCTTTCTTCATTGAAGCGTCCAATTTTGCATTAAAGCTTAATTGACCCCCATCGGAATTAATAGAATATAAAATTGGAATGCAACTGTGGCCCGCTGCTACAATTGAATTATTGGTGACCCAAATGCAACTAAGAAACGGTAAAAATTCGGTTCGTAGTTTAAAAACGGCGTTGTTACCGTTTCCTTTTGTGGCATCAGCTATATTAATTGTTGAATCATGGGAAACCCAACATATTTTATTTCCATCACTTGAAAATGAAACGCTGTGTACCCAACCTCCTCCTGATGGTGAATTAACAAATTCCGCCATTAAGTGACCAAGAGGCATTTTAACACCCCATGGTGTAGGTTCGGGGGTTTTTTCAATATCTTTTATATAAGCAGAGAAAACGCGAACTTTAAAGTCAGCGGAACCAGCGACTAATAAAACATTGTTTGGATGCCAATCAATTGCGGTTATTGTAGATCTAATTGGTTTCTTTATGTGTTTAGAAACCCACCAATCATTTTCAGATTCAAAATAACAAACAGATATTAATCTAGCTCCTGATCCAACAGCAAATTTGTTTTCATTCGGTGACCATTTCACGCACGTCGCAGCTCTATTAATACGCAATAAAACTAAAGTCGGTTTCCATTTTCCATCTTCTCCTTGCGTCCAAACGTACGCGTTTCGATCAACAGCACAAGTAACGATTCTATTGGTATTTGGACCCCAATCGATACCCATTACACGTAAATCATGCTGGTTTAAAACATCTATGAGTTTCCATTCGGATCCATTGCGTTTATAAATATGTACTTCGTGATTATTAGGGCTTAAAGCTATTTCTAAGGGGGATTATGAGATTTATTAAAAACGATGAAGGAAAAAGTTGTTTACTTACGAGTCTTATCCTTATTCCAGGCATGGCAAGTTATTGGGACCTCTATATTACTAAATTTATGTACCTCAGACATTGTTAATGCGTTTTTTGGTTAAATTAAAGTTGAAATAACAGAAATTCGTGGACTCTGGGCAGTCAACACGAATTTTTGAAGAGCTTGAAGGAAGTAAAAGGCGGATCTGTTTAATTTTAGTGCAGATTACTCATTTATCGGCTGATAATTTTATTTGACATTGACAGGAAACGCCACACCTCAAGAATAATTTTTATTTTTAAATTTATTATTTAAACTTAGATTAACATTATTTCGCATCAAATCCACGTATTTTTTAAATTTATTTATCTCAATAAAAAAAATCTAAATTAAATTTTATTAATTAAACGAAATAAATTTTTGAATTTACAACTTAGAAATGTAATAAAAAGTGGTTAATTTCAAAACATCGTTTTCTTGAAAATCATTTTCTTATTTATGTTTAAAAATCAATCTTAAAACGATAATTAAAAGTATAAAGGCGAATTTTAAGTTTTTCTTATAAAACTAACTTCACGCTTAATAAATTGGTAAAATTCAAAAAAAGCCCGCGTATTACGTGCACAACAACATCACACTTATGGTGCACGTGTAATAATTTCTCAATGTCTCAAAGAATTTTTATTTAAATCTAACTTAAAATGGACGAAAGCAAGCCAATAGTGATAAAAGCGAAGCCCGTTAGAAGAGTAATAAGGGCAACAAGATCAAATAAAATTCCCGACGCAATTATAAACGATAAAAAACTTCAAGCAGCTATTGAAGTGTTACCAAATAATTATAATTTTGAAATACCAAAAACGATTTGGAGAATACAAGAAACTAAAGCAAAAACGGTCGCGTTACAAATGCCCGAAGGCTTATTAATGTACTCAACAACTCTCTGTGATATAATTAGTGAATTTACTGAAGCTGATGTTATAATAATGGGTGATGTTACATACGGAGCGTGTTGTGTAGATGATTTAACAGCAAAAAGTTTAAATGTAGACTTATTAGTACATTACGGACATAGTTGTTTAATCCCAAACGACCCTAGTAATAATTTTAAAGTGCTTTATGTATTTGTTGATATTAAAATTGATCCACTCCATTTTATTGATACGATTAAATTAAATTTTAACTCCTTAGATATTAAAATCGGATTAGTTAGCACCATACAATTTGTAACTACATTACAAGCCGTTTCGAACGAATTACAAAAATTGGGTTATAAAGTTGTTGTTCCACAATTTAAACCGTTATCACCTGGAGAAATATTAGGTTGTACAGCACCTTTTATTGAAAATGTGGATGTTTTGGTTTATTTGGGAGATGGTAGGTTTCATTTAGAAGCCGCTATGATTGCAAATCCTAAATTAAAAGCTTACAAATATGACCCTTACTCGAAAGAGTTTACAAAAGAATATTATGAAGATGATGAAATGAAATTGAACCGTTACAAAGCAATTCAAGAAGCTAAAAATTGTAAAAAATTTGGTGTTATTATGGGTACTTTGGGTAGACAAGGAAATCCTAAAGTTGTTGATTTTATAAAAAAGAGAATTGAGTATCATAAAAAAGAATGTATGGTGATATTATTATCAGAAATATTTCCAAATAAATTAAATCTTTTTAATGAAATTGAAGCTTTCGTACAAATTGCTTGTCCAAGATTGTCCATTGATTGGGGAAATGCTTTTCGTAGACCTTTATTGAATCCTTATGAACTAGCGGTTGCTTTGGGTGATACAAAGTGGTGTGTGGAAAAAGAAAATGATGCTTATCCCATGGATTTTTATGCTAATGATAGTTTAGGAATGTGGACACCTAATTATAAGCCAAAAAACGATTGTATGAATACCGATAAATGTTGTGGAAAATGTACTAAGGGATAATTTTTTTTTATCTAGTGAATTAAGTACTTAATTAAGTTTTTTGTAATTTATTTTTTATGTAAATAACATGGAATTAAATTTAAAATATTAAAATTTTTTATTTATTATTAGATCGAAAATAAATTTCTTTTGATCTGTAGTGATCTGTATGATTTGTGTCTTGACATGTAATTTTTGAAAGGGCTTAAATTATAAGTTTTTGCTAAAATAAAAATTAAAATAAAGAATTGCACGTTTTGTAATTGATAGTTTATTATATTTTCGTTCTATCGGTTTCGACTCAACTTAGAGTCATCTTCAGGAACACGTCACAATTTGAATTAAAACCATGGTACTATTATTGAACATTTGTTCGTGATTAAAAAGCAGTAAGGATATCAAGAACTTAATAATTGAAATGTATTAATGTCAAGACGGCTTGACATTCACGATCCGGACAACCATCTTGTCCGGATGTTATAATTACGCAATTATTAAGTTCTTGATATCCTTACTGCTTTTTTAATCACGAACAAATGTTCAATAATAGTACCATGGTTTTAATTCAAATTGTGACGTGTTCCTGAAGATGAGTCTAAGTTGAGTCGAAACCGGTAGAACGAAAATATAATAAACTATCCATTACAAAAAGTGCAATTCTTTATTTTAATACGAATAATGGAAACAAATAATAATTACACTAAAATAAAAATAATTTAAATCTTGTCTTTTTTTCACTGAAATCTAAATGATTTAAGTTTTAAGCCTTTATAAGCACTTTAAGAATTTAAATTTTAAACTCACCTTCCTTTTTTATCTACTGGTTCATCCTATCATATTTACTAGTGGTGGAACGGATATCCGGCCATTTTTTAAAATCCGGCCGGATAGTTACCAAATATCCGGCTTTGGCCGGATATTAGAAACCTATTATCTCTTAACTCGTTATGACAGTGTCAGTGTTCTTCCTTACGTCGATTAAATATAAATGGGACATTACATGGCGATCCTGCCAACCGTTCCAATCAAGAAAGGTGGAAGTTTAAAAATAGTAAAAATTGATTAATCGGGAAAATGGAATTAGTAAACCAGTCCGTCTTTGGTCGGATATTAAAAATTTATTACTTAGTACGCCATCATTCACAGGAATTAGTATCTCTTTTAGGTGTTGAACACTGCAGATAATAATCACGTTCAATCCCAATAGGGACTTATCTCCCTAAAATACGCTCGAGCTTGATTTTAAATCAGGATAATTTTATTTTTAATTCACTCAAGTTTTGTTACCCTTTGGAAATAACTCGAAATCAAAAACTTTCGTGTAAAAATAAAATTATCCGATTAAAAGTCAAGCTCTCGTGTATTTACCCCCGATAATTTGCAAAATTCGCTATAAAATTGAATTCTTGAAGGATCCTTGTGGAAATATCACCAATTATTAATTAAAGTATCCTCTTCTTAATGCAACAAGCCGTTTTGAAAAATCGCTTTTAATTCTTGAGAAATAAATTTTTGATATGATCGAAAATTTTTTTGAATTTTGCAATTTTCGCTGATAAAGTTTTAAAAATTCATATAAAATCCATTTCTTGGAATATGAGTATGAAAATTTCCCAAAGTGTTAATAAGAGTGTCCTCTTTCCAATGAACTAACAGGTTTTGAAAAATAACTTTTAGTTTTTGAAAAAACAATATTTGAAGTTTTGATAAAATTTTCGATGTTGCAATTTTCATCGAGAATTTTCAAAATTCGNATGATTGGCATAATTTGTGCTTTCTCATACAGGGATTTATTTGAGGGATTGTACAGAGGATTTCTAGGATTTCTCAATTTGGTGATGATTCTAATAGCTGATGTCTTTGCCGCTTGAATGTTTTTCGATGACTTATTTCCAATTTTAAACAACAACGGGGCTCCGTAGTCGATGAACGGTTAACACCGTTGTTCTTGAATGTCAGGCTTCTAAATTGCTTGGCACGTGCTATTACGTTCATTTTAATTTTTTTTGTATGAATATCAAATTTCAATTTATTGTCAATGGTTATATATATTTGCGTGTCTTCTATGGCTGGACCAAGGTGTTCGCTAATCTGATGGTCGGAGAAGCAGTTGTGCTTTTTAAGGGTTTATGTGAATTCGCCAAACTTTGAACCATTTTTCTACATCTACAGTCAATGTTTGAAGTCTATTTAATGCTTTTTTTAAGGTCGTATCGTGAGTGACTAACACTGTATCATCTGCATACTGCAGCATATAAGCAGAGTTTGTAGGTACTATGGGCATCATATTAGTAGTAGAGGTAGGTAGAGTTGACGACCAATGGCGAAGCAGATCGAACGGCGCTCAATTCGGACTTGGTGACAATATCATGTACGAAAACATTAAACAAAGGTGGAGAAAGCGGAGAACCCTGCGGCACTCCTTGTTTTGGATAAAATACATTGGAGGTTGTATCATTTACCTTATTACACAGAGTTCGATTGGTTAAAAAACTGTCAATTAGTGCCACCATGACTCTGGGAACATTCATTGCTGAGAGTTTATACAATAACCGTTTGTGCCATACCGAATCAAAAGCTTTTTTAACATCCAAACAATGAATTGCAGTTTCTTCTTTTTTAAGCTTGCTCGTAAATATGTTGGAAGTTAATATTGATAATGGCTTAATCGTGGATGTTTTTGGTTTGAAGCCAAATTGATGATCAGGAATATATCTATCCACAAAATTTCATAACTTCTTTTTTAACAGTGTTTCAAAGCTTTTCCCAATTACAGGTGGGAGTGTGATCGGTCTATAACCGCTAGGAGTCATTAAATTTCCACCTTTCTTGGGTATGCAAATTACAATACCCGTTTTCCATTCGTGTGGAAAGAGATGTTTAGAAATACAAAAGTTATACATCTTGATAATAAATTCATGAATCTTTCCATCCAATTGTCTCAACATCTTCTTATTGATATTATCATAACCGGGTGCAGAGATTTTACCCTTTGGTATTACTTCCCAGTATTCTTCTTTTTTAATCACTAGATCATTGTTGGCTTCCACTGCATTATGTTGAAAATCATCATACCAGTGCTCTACCTCTTGAAGTTTGTCATGGTCAAAGCCTGCATCATTCAAAATGTCAACACATTTTTGGAAATATTCAGCATGTATTCGGAATATGTGATCGACAATTTTTTCTAATTTTGCAATTTTCGCCGATTAAGTTTTAAAAATACCTTTTAGTTTTTGAGAAAACAATATTTGATATTTGATATTAAAGTATCCGCTTTCTAATGCAACAAGCCGTTTTGAAAAATCGCTTTTAGTTCTTGAGAAATAAATTTTTGAAATGATCGACAATTTTTTCGAATTTTGCAATTTTCGTCGATTAAGTTTTAAAAATTCTTATAAAATACACTTCTTAGAATATGAGTATGAAAATTTCCCAAAGTGTTAATAAGAGTGTCCTCTTTCCAATGAACCAACACGATTTGAAAAATAACTTTTAGTTTTTGAGAAAACAATATTTGAAGTTTTGATAAAATTTTCGATGTTGCAATTTTCATCGATAATTTTCAAAATTCGGTATAAAATTAATTTCTTGAAGGATCCTTGTGGAAATATCACCAATTATTTATTAAAGTATTCTCTTTTTAATGCAACAAGCCGTTTTGAAAAATCGCTTTTAGTTTTTGAGAAATAAATTTTTGGAATGATCGACTATTTTTTAGAATTTTGCAATTTTCGCCGATTAAGTTTTAAAAATTCGTATAAAGTCCACTTCTTGGAATATGAGTATGAAAATTTCCCAAAGTATTAATAAGAGTGTCCTCTTTCCAATGAACCAACATGTTTTGAAAAATAACGTTTAGTTTTTGAGAAAACAATATTTAAAGTTTTGATAAAATGTTCGATGTTGCAATTTTCATCGATAATTTTCAAAATTCGCTATAAAATTAATTTCTTGAAGGATCCTTATGGAAATGTCACCAATTATTAATGAAAGTATCCTCTTTTTAATGCAACAAGCAGTTTTGAAAAATCGCTTTCAGTTCTTGAGAAATAAATATTTGAAATGATCGACAGTTAATTTTCGCCGATTAAGTTTTAAAAATTCGTATAAAATCCACTTCTTGGAATATGAGTATGAAAATTTACCAAAGTGTTAATAAGAGTGTCCTCTTTCCAATGAACCAACACGTTTTGAAAAACAACTTTTAATTTTTGAGAAAACAATATTTGAAGTTTTGATAAAATTTTGGATGTTGCAATTTTCAACGATAATTTTCAAAATTCGCTATAAAATTAATTTCTTGAAGGATCCTTATGGAAATGTCACCAATTATTAATTAAAGTATCATCTTTTTAGAGTTCTTTCGTTAGTTAAATCAGCATCAAAAAAGTTCATTTTGTATCTTTGATCCAAATAAGTTGACATATCTTATTAGCGTTCTTATTAATTTCATTTTTATTCAAATATCGCAATAATGTGGTATTATAGGATATCACTTCAGAAATGCACCAGAAATTATAACCATAATGGCCGGATAGATATGCCGGTTAACCGGATATCCGGCCGAAGGGGATGCCGAATATCCGGTATCCGGCTATACGCAAAATCACTATCCGTTCCATCACTAATATTTACCTACCTGCTTATAATAATATCACATCTTTTCAATGAAGAAAATATGAAATAAAAAATCATTTCATTTAACTCCTTTATTAATATTTTAAGTTTTAATACAGATTTTAAATTGAGCTTCCAGGTACATTGGTACCTACATGGTTGACTTATTCGATACTGCTGTGAGTCTTCATCTTATTAAAGTTAGGAATGTTACATGGGAAATACTTAGGGCATTTCTCAAACAAGATTCTAAATGAGTATCTGTGAATGCCTTTCGGTATTTAGATTTTATTATTTTAATTTGTGAAAATGCAGTTTCACATAAATATTTTGAACCACAACATGAGTACAAATTCTCAACACATTTTCGAAAATTTGTATACTTGTCTTCCGGTAAATATTTCCAAAAATTTTCGTCAGATGCCCTTGCTTTAACATGGATATCGTTTTGCAGTGTTATGATTTCTGATTCTAACTTATGTACATACATCCATTTCGAACAACTCAGACAGTTTCTCTGCTACTTTTTCTATACAGTGGAACCTCGCTTAACGAGTACCTCTCATAACGAGTAACTCGCTTAACGGTTGATATTGCGCATAACGAGTGACACGCATAGGGGAAGTCCCTTATTCTCGTCACTCGGTTGTGCGTTGAAACTTTCGTCGTTAGTGCTTACCTGTGTGTTTACCACTCATTACTTTAATGTGTTAGTGACGTTTTTGTTTAGATATTCGGCATTGTATAAGGTTTAATAATTATTCATAACATCCCCGACAAATAGGCCACAAGAAACCAACTATGTATAAAAGAAGAAAAATAACCCTAGAAACGAAACAGGAAATCATTAAAAAGAGTGAACAAGGTGTGAATGTGTTCTCTTGAGATTTTTGTTTCGCTTGTTTTTTTGTTGTTTCAAAGATTTAAATTATAATTTTGATTTGTTATTCAAAATGATTTTAATCATTATTCTGTGATTTTGAGTCGTTTATTTACATACTTAAATACAATTCATTTCAAAACTGATTTAAATCATAAATCTTAAGTCAACTTTAAAAAAAATTATTTAAAAATGACTTAAGTAAAAACAGGACTTAAATATTCAATAAGTTGACAGCTCTGCCGATTAATATTGCTTTTAATCTACATTCATATCTCATTCTCCATTCGCTTGGTACAGAGCATAAGTATATACCGATGATGGTAGGTTTCATTTAGAAGCCGCTATGATTGCAAATCCGAAATTAAAAGCTTACAAATATGACTCTTATTCGAAAGAGTTTACTAAAGAATATTATGAAGATGATGAAATGAAATTGAACCGTTACAAAGCAATTCAAGAAGCTAAAAATTGTAAAAAATTTGGTGTTATTATGGGTACTTTGGGTAGACAAGGAAATCCTAAAGTTGTTGATTTTATAAAAAGGAGAATTGAGTATCATAAAAAAGAATGTATGGTGATATTATTATCAGAAATATTTCCAAATAAATTAAATCTTTTTAATGAAATTGAAGCTTTCGTACAAATTGCTTGTCCAAGATTGTCCATTGATTGGGGAAATGCTTTTCGTAGACCTTTATTGAATCCTTATGAACTAGCGGTTGCTTTGGGTGATACAAAGTGGTGTGTGGAAAAAGAAAATGATGCCTATCCCATGGATTTTTATGCTAATGATAGTTTAGGAATGTGGACACCTAATTATAAGCCAAAAAACGATTGTATGAATACCGATAAATGTTGTGGAAAATGTACTAAGGGATAATTTTTTTTTATCTAGTGAATTAAGTACTTAATTAAGTTTTTTGTAATTTATTTTTTATGTAAATAACATGGATTTAAATTTAAAATATTAAAATTTTTGATTTATTATTAGATCGAAAATAAATTTCTTGATCTGTAGTGATCTGTATGATTTGTGTCTTGACAAGTAATTTTTGAAAGGGCTTAAATTATTAGTTTTTACTAAAATAAAAATGATTTAAATCTTGTCTTTTTTTTTCACAGTTTTAAGCCTTTATAAGCACTTTAAGAATTTAAATTTTAAATCATTTCAAGCATTTTTATTGGTGTCCACTAATTTTTGACCAAGATCGACTTTTTATATAAATGTCTTGCCAAGATCGACCGAAGAGTTTAAAATCATTTTTGACATTTTAAAACTCACCTTCCTTTTTTACCTACTGGCTCGTCCTATCATATTTACTAGTGGTAGACTGGATATCCTGCCATTTTTTAAAATCTGGCGGAATAGTTGCCAAACATCAAGTTCAACCCCAATAGGACTTTTTTCATTGAATACAACTTTATATCAGGTTTGTCATTAGCAACCTCATTGTAACAATCCCAATACGATATATAAAATCTCTTGTTGCAGTTTCGTCTAGTTTTCTTCTCTACGGTTTTAATTCATCATCACATTTAACAAGTATCCTCTTTTTAATGCAACAAGCCGTTTTGAAAAATCACTTTTAGTTTTTGAGAAATAAATTTTNACAATTTTCAAAATTCGCTATTCAATTAATTTCTTGAAGGATCCTTGTGGAAATATCACCAATTATTAACTAAAGTATCCTCTTTTTAATGCAACAAGCAGTTTTGAAAAATCACTTTCAGTTCTTGAGAAATAAATTTTTGACATGATCAACAATTTTTTCGAATTTTGCAATTTTCGCCGATTACGTTTTAAAAATTCGTATAAAATCCATTTCTTGGAATATGAGTATGAAAATTTTCCAAAGTGTTAATAAAAGTGTCCTCTTTCCAATGAACCTACACGTTTTGAAAAATATTATTTAGTTTTTGTGAAAACAATATTTGAAGTTTTGATAAAATTAAAATAAAAGAAATAAACAAGATCGAAAAATCCATGGATTTAAATCTGGTGAATATGCATGGCCACATTTCGGTGGCCATGCATATTCACTTCTTTAAAACTACACACTGAGGATTGGCGATCTCTGTTGTAATACTTAATCGACGAGTACATATAGATGGATTTTCTGCGACTCGAACCAGGATCTGTTCTTCTTCGTCGACGCTAATTTTTAGTGTCGAACCACTGCTACTTTTAGGAAAAAAGATCCCGTACAGATTCCTAAATAACTTATGATTAGGTTGCCTTCGATTTGGATATAACTCCAAATATCTTTGGGTTGCTGCTAAACCATTAAAATTGGTTTGAGCAAAACAACAAATCATATCTCGCATATCACTGTTAAAACTCATTATATCGTGGTATTTTCAAATTAGTAATAACTTAATAATAATGATAATAATAACGTAATAATGTTGATAATTAACAAGCAATTGTCGAAACATAAGCGGAAAAATAAACCAACTTTGCTTATGTTAAAAAATAAAAATTTTAGAAGCAAAAATGCATTTAAACATTTAAAAGTAAATAATTCGAAAACGGATGGACTTAGACAATTTAAATAAGAGTATCTTTTTAACGTAAAATTGAAAGCTCTTTGTGATTTGTAGCTCTTATTGGTCGTACCTTGACAGCCAAAAAACTTTTTTAATTCGTATTTCTCATGCCCGAAAACATAAAACTACCAAATTTTTTGTTAATAACACCCTGTACCTCGAAAACCACCGACATCGACATCTGTATAAGAGATGTTGGATTAAATCGTCATATTTTGGTGTCTAGTGTCTCCGGTACCCGGATTTCTCATTCTTTCTGACTCACCCTGTATAAGAGTGAAAACGCAAAAAGTGTCAATAAATATTTATTATTTCAACGTATAAAACACCCATATAATGTCTTAACTTAACGTGTTAGTTGCTAATTGTTACTTAGGGTACGAAATTCTAATCTCAGAATCCCTGGGAAATTTATTATTTTGCGCGGAATTAGGGACATAATAATGATTAAAGAAGTGCGTAAAGAATCTTCCAATTTCCGGATTATTTCCCAAACCAGTGTCAACCCCGCTAAACATTAAATCATCTTCGTTCACGCTTCTCTTGGTTCCATCTCCTAACAAAACGTCGTAAATTGTATTATAACGAATGAAAATATTTTTCCATTGGTAAATAAGACACGTATAGTTTTCCTTTTTATGTTTCATGACCATTCCAACGGCGAATTTTGCTTGAAAACGTGGTGCGACCCTCTTATTTCGTTCTTCGGAACTTCTTCCTCTTCCTCTCGCAAGTAAACATAAAATATCGATCGAGTCCTTTGGATTGTAGTAATATTTAATTCGTAAGAGTTGTTGTAACGGCGTCGTATTTATATCATGTTTTATGTAATAACGTGCCAACGAACGGATAACGCGAAAATCATCGGGGTTGAGAACGTGATTTAGTTCTAAAATTGAACGGATTAAAATGACCCTTTGACCCAGAGGTTGAAGCCGATTGGTTAATATGAATGAAATATCTTCAATCATTTTTTTGATAACCTTAAATTAAAAAAATCAACAGTTTATTATTTAAACATAACAAAAACGAAAGATTCTTACCAATTTAGGTGAAAGAATTGCATGTATTCTTATGATCGGATCAGAATAAATTCGTCCTACTTTATAAACATCTTCAAAAACATTAACAAAGCACACCTCTTCGTTCATATCGTGCTTTGTTAGTTTTAGTAAAATATTCTGATTTTTGGTGTACACTATGTCTAAATGAACACCCATTCTTCTCGCTACTCCTTCATAAATGATTGCTAAACTTATTTCTCCACCTCTTTTCGATTCGAAAACATCCGATATGAATTGATTTTCAATAACGTTAGATTCATTAGTACAAAAATCATTAATTTCGAAAATAACGTGTTTCATCGCTTCCAAAATCTCACAACAATCTGACGAGGTAAACTTATTCTCAGAAATGTTCTTATTCCGCCATGACTTCAATTCGTCCTCGCTCGTTTGAAATAACGGATGATTCGGTTTAGTAGTTTTTAAATGATTTTTAACTTGTTCCGTTATTTCGTCGAATTGATTTCGAACATTTTCGATTTTTATAACACATTGGGGGTTTAACCACTGATTTAACAATGTGGCGCCGATTTCTAAAAGTTGATCTTTTTCTTTGCAGGAACAAAATTGGGTCCAATAATTTTGCAAGTGAACGTGTCTTAAATAATGTAACGTTAGTAAGCTGTAATATTTAAGTGTTAAATTTCCAGGTGTTTTTAAAGAAATAATTTCTGAGGTATTAATTTCTGAGTGATCATTTAAGATTTGTCTTAAATAATGTTCTATATACTCTCTGTTTAAAAATCTTAAATCAATTATTTGAATTAAGTCTTCGAAATCTGTGTCGGATAGTTGCTTTTTATCGATACATTCCGTTGCGAGGTTTATTAATATTTCGTCGACATTTCGATGTATTTTGTAACCGTGACGAAATTCCGAAAAATAATCTTCTATTTTGAAGGAATTTTCCACTATTTCGGACCACTTTTCCAAATACAGTTTCTTCCATAAAACATTGTTTTGCAAGATAAAGCTTCGTAAACCCGAACATGTCGAAGATAAGTTGATTAAATCCTCAAGATTTAAAAATCTTTGTTCTATGACCACCTGAAGAATTTTCGTAGGGAGTTTATCTAACATCTTAAAATTCTTCGAGGTAACCAATATACACTAAGCGAGTTTGCAATCTAAGAGGACTGCTACATCCCAGGAACAAGTAATATTTTTTTGAGCGTCCTGTATCTCCTTTATCCAGCAACACTGGTGTAAAGCATGGATTAAATCGGCATATTTTGATGTCTTTTGCGATTTCCCATTTTTTTCTAATTCACCCTGTATAAAAAAAATAAGTTTTTATGAGAAGGGTTGAGAAAAGTCACTTCAGGTTGCTAAATATACTAAAACAGCAGTAAAAAATCAGTGTATTTTCTTGATCTAATGAGATATTTGACATCACCGGCGAGACGATAGCAACAAACCGCTCAGCAACAAACTTTTTCCTTTATATTTCCACCTACTTCTGGGGCCCATATCTTCGTTATCTAGAAAGATAGCGAAAAACTAAGCACACGGTTGGAAAGCTTGGTCTTTCCTCTATCATAATAATAATAATCTCTAACCGAGATATTAGATTTTCGTCCGCCGATATGTTAATAATAAGAGCAAGAAAAAATAAGAAACGTCGCGCTGCATTCAATTTACCTCAGAATTACCAAACTTCACGGCTTTGTGCAGCCGTTACTAGATGGAAATTCAATAAATGGTTTACATATTCGCAAAGAGCTGACCTTGGACTATCTTATTCCGAGTTTTCGTCCGTCAATATCGGTCGACGTCTGTAAAAAAACGCTCCTGAAAAAGAGCCTACAGTTGGCAACAAACTTTACTTTTGTATTTCCATCTATGTACTTTTCGGACGGATATATTTGTTATTTATAACGCTAGCGGAAAACTAAGCACACGGTTGGAAAGCTTGGTCGTTTGTCTATCTTAAACCGAGTTTTTGTCCGCCGATATGTTGATAATGAGAGCAAGAAAAAATAAGAAACGTCGCGCTGCCACCAATTTTTGCCGCGGCTAAACCACGCTTGCGTCAATAACTCTCTTATATCACGGGGAGGAAACTCTAGAACTATATTCATCCTATCGGAAATTTTCTGCTCTTTTCAGCGGTATATAACACATCTCAATCACACGTTTGCACAATCGTTTTTCAGCCCAGCAACAAACTTTTCCCTTGTATTTCCGTCTACTTTTCGGGCCAATATTTTCGTTATCTAGAAAGATAGCGAAAAACTAAGCACACGGCTGGAAAGCTTGGTCTTTTCTATATCTTAAACCATGTTTTCGTCCGCCGATATATTAATAATAAGAGCAGAAAAAAATAAGAAACGAGACAGAAAAATGTACATTTTACCTGACAACTTAATATTGGGACAGTGTTAAGTAACTTCCATAAAAATGGAACAAATAAGTAAACTGTGGAAACAACGTAAAATGAAATGTCAAATTGCCGGTTTGTTCCAAAGCTTGTAACATTGTTGCTGTTGAGTAAATATGTATTTATCAATTAAAATGGTGCGTGGTATCTCTACAGGGTCAAAAATCCGTGAATTAGTAATTAAAAGTTATTGCCACAATAAAACAATACGTGAAATTGCAGACGAATGTGTATCTTGCCATATGTAAGACCCATTCAGCATTTAGAACAAACCGGAAACATTTCGTTGGAAGAAAGTGAAATAGTGACAGAGACCGACGAAGACAATCCTGAACCTCAGTTAAGTAATATCCTGCTAGAAGAAAATAAAAACGATAACGTCACGAAATCTTCTGAAGAAAGTTCTTTTAACATTGAAAAAAAGAACAGAAAGAGAAGACATGTAGAGGACAAATATGAAATCAATCACGCTACTTTAGATTATATCAAAGAAAAGTAATAAGACTTTAGATGACGATCGAAGGATGTTTCTTTTGAGTTTATTACCCGACATAAAGAACTTATCAGACAAAAATATGCGACAATTTAAAATTAAAACACTTGTATTGCTAGAAAAACTGTTGACGCAGCAAGAGCAAAATTGCTCCCAAAATGCACCCAAAATTTTCTCTTATGTTTCTGTTTTCTCTTACGAGAACGAAGATAATTTAACAAAAGTAGATCCTCTTCATCACTTGACATATTGGCAAGTACTGAATAAAATACGTTTTAAGATCGGTTCGTTTGCGGATCTTTAGGCGTATAAGAAGCGTTGCTGCATGACGCTTTTAAGTGTCTTATTAGACGAAATCGCGACGCCGCGTCGTTATTTGCAGGTTTTTATTTAAAAATACGTGAGATGCACTGAACCGTACGCCTTCCCAAGGTAGATAAATATATTCATGTTATATTCATATATAGATATAGGAATATAGATATATTCATGTACCTTGCGCCTTCTTACAATCGCATCTAATATGCAGCTCCGTGTGCAGAAGGCCTAACTCGAACGCGGTACCCCTTTAGCAACTTCCGCTTTTGAAGAATCAATTGTCGATCTTTATAGGAAACAAAATGCACGATTACGATTTGTTTACCATTTACCAGCTTTCCAACATAATGACATCGATCGATATTAATAGTATCAATGGGGACTTCTAATTTTTCGTTAAAAAGGCGCAGAACATTAGTTTCCACTTCATTATTCAGACGGTGGTCCAAAGCATCGCAACGTTTGACTGTTTCTTCGTTCCGATCCTCCAGTTCAACAACCAATCGTATAATACATATCTTTAAGTGTCTTGTGCAGGATATACTCTTGACAACAGTATATGACATGAATGTGTACAGAAAGGAGCTAAAGAAGTTACTTTTAATAAAATCTTTGCCCATGCATGAACGGTGTCTACAACGTGGCTTACTCACTACGCCATTAGACACAATGAAGAGTAAGTTGTGCTGGCGCTATGTTAATCAAAAGTGCATCATTAGTGATTGCTTAAGATTTAAGAACGTTTCTGCGTTCTTTGTCACAAGTACCTCCAAAAATAATCTTATATATTTATATTTTAAAATATTTGTGTCTCCGCGAGAGTGACTCTTACGTATGTACTTGTTGTTAATATATTTGTGTTTCTTTTTAATCTGGGGGTGAATAAAACTGCAGAGCAAGTAAATTTGGCCACGCTATTCGACAGGTGAGATGTTTTAGTATATTTAGCAACTATCAGATTTTTGGGGACTGCCGTCGTTAACACAGGGCGATTTTTTTAACCCTAGGATACTTAACCAATAAAATATTTTTTATTATTTTATAAAATCACGTGTAGTCAGAACAGCAACAAACTTATTGAAGTAAAACTTTATTTATTTATACATATGTACGTTACAAACGTGAGGTTAAATATGAAAGTGAACATTATTGTTAAAAAAACACTATTGTTTATTGTTTTTAGGGATTAGAGAAGCATTTAGTGCACATTCTAATACTATGCTCATTACAGATATTATTTTTACAAGTAATACATATCATTGTGCTTTTACGATCAATACTTGCGGGACATACTGAGCATCTTTTTCTCTTAATTGTTGCACTTGTGTGAGCGGCTGGCGGACCACATATATCAATAAATCTGCTCATACACTCCCGGACAGTACTCGTAGGTTAAGGTTAGTAGATCTTCTCTGCATATGTGGTATCACTAGTTTCTTCGCTAAATATTTCAAAAACATTCTGCGTTTGTGAGTCATTCCTATGTTGTAGTTTGGATGTTCCTTCGTAAAGTCTATATATGCATTGAGTGCTGCAACATCAATGATGTTGAAGAAAAATGTCATGGGCCATCGTTTACTTTGCCTCTTGTACGTGTATGTCGACACTATTTGATTCATGATGTCAACACCGCCCTTTGTTTTATTATAATGAGAGATTATTTCAGGCTTCCTCTTAGCGTCGTTATTGATAGATGCGTCGTGGTGTATCGTGCTTAGTAAAATTACGCATTTGTTCTTTTTATGTTCGTAACTTACCATGGATACGTTATTTTGAAAACAAAACAATGAAGAGTTCAGTTCACAATTTCTTGTACAATAACTGGAGTTACAAATAACTGAAACGCTTCTTTTGGTGTTGCAGACATATGTTTCCTTGCTAGTCCTGGCGCACGCCGAATAATGTTGTGTGGTTGAATTTTATTTTTTGTTGGAGGTTCCAAACTCTATACCAGACCACTTGGAGCAATGTAACCGCTCGTTGAAGGCTTACCAATATCATCAACATCGTCCTCTGAATTATCGTCACCATGATCAGAACTGGATCCAGAATACTCGTCAGGAACCAATTCGAAATTTCTATCTTCTGTGTCATCATTTTCTGCTTCTGACACATCACTTTCTTCAGAAGGCAGATTATGACATACAGCTGCCCACTGCACCAATATTTCTTCATAACCGGGGTCACCAAATCTCACATTCGCTTTTCACATTCCTTTTTGACACCATTATCATACTTATGTATCTCACAAGATCACTTAATCCAACTTCTATTCAAACTGAATGAAAAACAGCTACACCTACTTTTATACATCCAACAGTAATGCACGTTTTAACTTGCACAGACACGCACAATTCCGCGCAGCAGTGTTTGATAAACTATAATAACCCTCAACCTGTAATGAACAAGTTGAAACTTGTTCTATAGTAACGGGCTTCGCAGACCCGGTTTATGCAAATACGGGGTGCTAATGAAAACGATTTTTTTTTCGATTGGTAATTACACTTGAATATTTTTGAATAAAGTGTGTATTGAATAAAGACGTGAGTAGTATAGCTATGGGCGTTCTGGACCAAAATCCCATAAGATTTAACATTGGGGTCGAAAAGTACTTTTTATCCCCACCACTACCTCCTTTCGAGGGTGTAGCCACGCCCACATTTTAAATTCAACCAATCAGAGCGCAGCATTCTCCAAGAACCCTCTTTTNAAAAACTAAGCACACGGCTGGAAAGCTTGGTCTTTTCTATATCTTAAACCATGTTTTCGTCCGCCGATATATTAATAATAAGAGCAGAAAAAAATATGAAACGACACACTACATTTAAATACCTCAAAATAGCACCACTTTAAGGCTTTGTGCAGCCGTTATCAGAAAAAAATTCAACAAATGGTTTACTATTACATATTCGAAAAGAGCTAATCTTGGCCTGTCTTATTTCGAGTGTTCGTCTGGCAATATCTGCCGGCGTCTGTAAAAGAAACACACCTGAAAGACAACCTACAGGTAGCAGAACGCAATCACTTCTTATCCTAACTTTCTTATTTGATGAACGAAAAAGTGGGACAAAGTTTTACCCGAGA